AAAGTTAAAAGATTTAAAAAAGCATCTCAACTGTGGCTAAATTTTGAACATAAAACACTGAAAGTTCTTTTGAAGTTTTCAGTGTAATTAAACTTTTAGCCACCATATTGAAAAAAAGAATAATGTTTTTAGCATAATTATAAACAACATTGCTAAACAACACAATGGCCAAAAGCGCTTGCTTTAAGAAATAAAACAAGGCCCAACAATAGGTTTAGGACATATTTATGATCATTCACCCTATAATTTAACATAAAATGTCCAGTTGAACATTTTTATCATTCAAAGAATAAAGTTTGTAAAAGAAAACCGAACAGTGGCGATAATCATAAAAAAATTGGCTGAATTCGTACCGAACTGCCAAAGTTTTGGTAGCCACATTTAATTGAAGATAAACAGACTTTTAGAAGTGAAATACCAACTTGTAGAGTTGGCGTTGCTACTCCTCAAGTTCTCAAGCTCAGCTTCGAACACCGCACGTCTTACTAACAGCGAGTACCGTTGGAAGTAACAATCTTTGAAATAATGATTTCATGATTGATTTAAATGCATTCGAAAATGCATTTAGGAAATCAGTTTTGACAAAGGCTACCAGTGAATTCGCTGACAAATTTACTATAAAAATCTTTTCAATTTTAACTTCACAAAGTGAATTTTATGATTTTTTATTAAGTGCAAGGAACATACATGAAAATGAAACAACTTAAATCCAATCATTTTATATACATTATATTTATATTTTTTTTTCAAATCACAGTCTTTAATGTGTTTTACAAAAAATCTCTTCTGCTTTTAATTGTCTAAATGATAACACTGTTGTAATTAACAATCATCGTTCCAATCGTATCTGTTATATTTTTTGAAATAGCATTAGTTTTTGATGGAAATGTTTTCTCTTCACATAAAACATTTTCTTTTAAATTGGCAATGAAATATTGTAATTTTAATTTCTCGGATAAACATTGCATGAGTTCAAAACATCAGATTAAGAGAATAATCTCTATTCAGTGAGAGGAGGTATATATATACAACTCCTCTCAAAAGAACTTATAAATAGGTTAATTGTTGACGGAATGCAGGATTAGGACTTTTTTTTTTATTTTCATAGAAATAACGAATAAATATATAGATATATTCTCTAAGAGATTTGTTAGTATAACGCTTAATTTTAATGTAGCCCAGCTCTTAGAAGAGGGAAATATTACAATGTGCAGAGTGTAAAAACCTGTTTCCACACTTCTTGTTGTTACAGATCTTTTAGAAACAAAGCATTACAAGATATATTCTGTGCATCTTTTTATTGATCTACTTGTTTTAAATTGAATGATGATAGAAAATCGGAATGATAAAAATTTAAAGACACATGAGCAATCAGAAACAATAGAAGAATTAAATTTTAACATAATGGTAATATGATGATAATTGGAATTGTTTTAAACAGTAAGTTGCGTTAATAATTGTTGACAAAGCTTTCCATATTCATTTTGGTCACCAGAAATCCTTCGAAGCTTTATTATTCCTTTGCTACCTACACTTTGTTGATCCATGGAAGACGAACCTGCTTTTTCATTTCCAATTTGTCGCTCGCAAATTTTCAACTCTATTTGTAAACCACTTGAATATTCCAAACTCATGTTTGAAGCATCATCAAGCATTAGCTGATTATTTGCGTCAGCTTCATTGCGATTTAATATGAAACCTTTTGGTGGAACTTTACTATTTATAATTTGTTGTTTCACATATTGACTGATGCTGGTAACATCCAAATTTCTACATCCATTAGGAAGCGGGAATTCATAATATTCTTCCGATGAAGTTCGACATTCACTAAGAGAATCAGGTGACAATCTTTCTTCTTCTGTACTTTTAAAGCCACTCGAATGAGAAACTTCTTGTGCCGGAGATTGGTTTGAATCATTACTAAGGGAATCGTCACTAAAACCTAGCGATTTATCACTTCCCCGTCTAACGTAATGATCATTATCGCCTTTCACAGATGAAGGTATCGAACAAGACATTTGCTTATTTGTTTCATTCTCCAAGCTTGCCTTCCTCCCAACGCCCCGAGTTATTGATGGCATGTCTTCAGAGGGTTCCTTTATTAAGAACTCATGAAATATTGAAATCCCACGGGAATTCGAAGTAGTGCCGGGAGTTGTTACTGTGCTTGCTGTTCTTCTTGAAGTATCATTACTATTGTTCGTATCCAATGAATCATCAGAATCACGAGATGAGTCGGATAAAGCAACAAGGGTGATCTCACTTCCTTGAACATCTGTCAACGAAATCTGAGGATGGTGAAGATGTTGTGCTGTAACATCAACGTGTGACAAGGAATATTGGGCTGGTAAAAGTTCTTCTTGTATAATGCACAAATTGTTGCTAGGTGATGTCGGAGGTGTAGGTGCTATTATACGTTGTGGCGTTTGCTGACTCTGCGGCTGTGTACTAGCTGTGGCTGATAAATTTATCGGTCGTATGTCGTAGAAATTTCCACTCCATTGAGTATCCATTTCAGTTACAGTTGATGAATCCATTGTGAGATCAAGCGGTTCATTTGCTGAACAACTAGTTGTTAATACACTTATACCACGAGTAATTTGATGCATAGGCGATGTTTGTAAATTTGGACTATTCAATGAGACAATTTCGTTTCCTTGATAATTGCCCGCATAATTAAAATTAATACCATGAAAATGGTGAATATTAGTCACATGGTCGGATTGGTAATTGGAGTTCAACAGTGAAGCACTTTGACTAAATACTTGTTGCTGCATCGAATTTGAATTATGCGCAACTAATCCTAAGTGTTGACTAATTTCAACTGGCAATTTATTGGATGAAATGATACTGCGTAGTTTATCAGCATTTAAAAGATTTTCAAAAACTAAGCGTTGTAGTCCAGGATAAATTTGTACCATTATGTCAGGAGGAATGTCAATTTCATTCACATTATTCTTCTCATCAAATGATTTAGCGTGCATTGGTGAGCCTAAAAAAATAAAAACAAAGAAAAATATATGAAAACAGTAGAACAAAAAAAAAAAAATAATAGGAGCCACCCGGGTTTGAACCGGGGACCTCTCGATCTGCAGTCGAATGCTCTACCACTGAGCTATAGCTCCATTTTCAACTGTTAGAAAACTTTTGCTGAATGTGCTATATTATTATTTTTATGACGTTTGTCATTTCCTTTTTTATCAAATTCAATGACCATTTTATCATTTTTATAATAGACTGTTTGTGAAATAGTAGTTTAACCAAAACATAAACAGCATTTTATATACATTTCTTTGTTTGTGTTATTATTATTACCTGGTAGAGAAACTGAGTTTTCAGATGGCGGACTGGGTGTAACAAGATAATTGTTCCTTTGCTGTGCAAGACCCTTCTGTAGCTGTTGACATTCTTGGAAGGGTCCATGCACGTGAGGATTGCGAGAGCCTTCTGATGCACGACGCACAGGCGAATAACGGCCTATTTTAATAATTATTAAAAAACAAAATTTATTAATTGAATATTATTAAATTCCTTAAAATTTTTATAAAATAATAAAAAATCAAGAAGCGACATCAATTTTTTTATCTAATTAAGAAGCATAAATAAATAAATGTAAAACACCTATACAAACATTGCTACTTACAAACCTTAATAAATCCCTTTCAAAAACGCCATTAAAACCGTCAACACGTAATATTTTTGTTATAGGAAACACTTTTAAAGGCCATATCGGTTTTTTTTCTTAAGAAAAAATATAAAATCTCTCGACAAAGACTTACCCATAACTTCTTGTACTGTTGGTAATTTACAAGCTTTCCCAAAACGTCTTTGTTGTGGCATCACATAAGAGTTTTGAGGAGGACTGCTGGAAATTTGAGCTGCATGTTTTAAAGACGGTGGCAAATAATTACGATTCATTCTCGCTTCAACCTCTCGTATCAGATCAGGGCTGATAACTTTTGTTTTAGATTTTTTTTAATTTGAAAAAATTAAAATTTTGCACAACAAAAATAACAACAAAATAAGTAAGTTGAAATTAAAAACAAAGTAATTATAATTATTAAGAGATATTTTGAGAACTCAAAAATAAATTCAAAACATGCTAAAGATTTTTTTAATTTCAATAGCTCCAAGGACTTATAAATATTACCTGGTGGCCGTTCCATAACAGTTAATAATCCTGTTCTTCTCGTTCTTCCACTTGAAGAGGAATTACTCGGATTTATACCTGGTGTAGATGGAATTGGTGAATGAGCGGAAGGAATATCATTATTCTGTGATGATGAACTTTTTGATAGATCTTCAGTGCATGCAACAGTGTGTCGCTTGGAACAACCACGTCCATGCATATATCGTTGAATTTCATCATTAGAATCTTCACTACTTTCCATGTTATTATCGCCTTTTAATTGATATCCGGAAGATATTTGGTCTGTCACCATCATAAATTCGTTAGAATTTTGACGACTGTAAAGATCATTGTTGGTATTCTGTGTTGGGGCTGATGATGGGTAAAAAATATGCAAATTTGCTCCGCCATCAGAAGCTCTGCGACCAAAACCACCTGCTGAGCAAAATAAAGTAAAATTAAATTCTTTTTCATTTAAAAACTTCCGAAAATTAAACTTACTTGCACCCATCACAATAGGAGGCTTCAGTAAATGTTGATCTTTAACTGTAAATGTATTTATTGGCTGATTTTGGAGCATGGGTAAATTGAGTGGAATCTGATTTGGTCCCATTGAGACTCCGTCAAATTTAAAGTTCATTGCAACTGGATTTCCCAAAGCTTGCTCATGAGCGACATCACCGGGACCAACAGTATGTCGTCGAATATTTCCATTTATATTGACTGTTAATTGTGACGAATCCGATTGACGTTGCTGATAACAACTAGAATCAACATCCAAATCAACACTGAATTTCTCAAAATCTAAATCCAATGTTTGAAGACCGACTTGACCTGTAATTGTGACGGTGCTTGTCAGTGGACTGAGTCGGTCAATTGTTTCTTGTTTCATAGTCTCGGATCTGTCAACAATACCGGTTGTTATACTCGTTTTCCGTGATCTTAAATAACAGATTATGACGATTTTTATATTTGAGGGAATAAAATTTAAATATTTTTAAAGTACCTTGAGTATGCAATTTGTTGAAGTCGCTTTTGCTCTTTTCGTTTCTCTTCCAATTTATCACAAAGTAGATGATAAATTGCATAAATGTGATCATAACGTGCTTCATGCACTGACTGAGCTATCAAATCTGTAGTCAATCCTGGAATTTCTAACATACGGTTAATGACCATTGTGTCCAAGTTTCTTTTATCAATTTGTGATGTTAAAGATTCATTTAATTCTGTTATATTGATAAGATTGTATCTGGCTAGCCATTTATGATTCGCTATCTGCTTCAATGAAAAGCGACGTTCCGGTTCGACAACAAGCATATGTCTGATGAGATTTTCACACTCCTGTGACATAAAGAATGGAATCCGAAACTTTCCACTAATGACAACGCTTCGAAGGTCATGAAGGGTCGCTCCATCAAATGGCAAAGCACCACATACAAGCACATATAACACAACGCCTAAACTCCAAATATCGGCACGTGGACCATCATATTCAAGTCCTTGAAAAACCTCTGGCGCCGCATACTTTAGGGGTTTAAAAACTTTCTTTAATAAGAATTTCATCGGGAATTTTAAAACTTATTAAATCTTACAGGTGGACTTCCGCAAAATGTCTTTAAGAAGATTCCTTCTATGAATGTGTTACTAAATCCAAAATCAGCAAGCTTAAATAAAGAATAGTTTCAACATTTTTTATTATTATCGATTCAAATTCAAAAATATTACCTTAATATTCATGTCAGCATCGAGAAGAACATTCTCAGCTTTTAAATCTCTATGAACAATTCCAGTTTGATGACAGTAGTCAACAGCTGAAACAATTTGAGAAAAAATTCTTGCAGCTTCTTCCTCTTTCATGCGTCCATTTGAAACGAGATGATCGAAAATTTCTCCACCCCCGGCATGTTCTGTCACGAGATAAATTGAATTCTTTGATTCCATAACTTCATAAAGTCGTGTTATGTGAGGATGATGCAGAAGCTTCAAGATTGAAATTTCCCGGAAAGTCTTAGCTAAATTGTCTTCATCAAGGCATGTTTTATCTATGATTTTTATGGCAACCTGGAAAGAAGAAGTCAATATATGTTGATATTCTTGAGATGAAATGGTTATAATGATAGGAAAAGATTAAAGAGTGAAATTCTGAATATATCCTTTAAGAATTGTTTTAAAAAATATGTACATATTATAAAGTCAAAAGATTGAACAATCAGTAATCAATGATTTGAGGATTTCGTAATCTTGGATTAAGAGTAGAAGAAAGTATTATTAACATTAATGATTCTTATAAATATTTGTCACAACATTGTATTCTTGCATTGAAAACATTTAAATAATAAAAATACTATAATCAGAGTTCTTTCTATGAGAAAACAAGGAAGAAAATACTCAGAAAAGAATGCTGATAAAACAATTAATAAAACTACCTATTTAAATGAGCGTCTCAGTGTTAAAAAAATAACACAAAGTCATAAAAAAATGCTGAGAAGAAAAGAAGAATGAAAGCGTAAAAGAGAGCTCCCGAACGAAAGTGAATTTAACAACGAAGCGGGTGCGTGGAATAATAACAATAACAATATTTTCCACACTCATTACGTCAATAGAAGGAATCAATATCGCATACAACATGAAATATGTATACACCTTTTCTTCTTATTCTGCAGCATAAAAATATTTTTGTGTCCCTTTTTAAAATTTAATTGCTGAAATTTTCATTATAAGTTAATTAAAGTAGTCCTACCTTCGATTTTGTGATTGAATTCGTTGCTAATTTCACCACCGCAAAATTTCCTTTTCCTAATTTTTTGTCAAGAATTCAAAGAATTGGAAAATAAACTGCTTCATCTTAATGCACCTTTCAAAAAACTGTGTTTTCTTACCTATTGTCTTTTCTAATTCATAGAATCCTACGCGCACTAACTTTTCAATTTTATTTTCATTATAACTCGAAGATTTTTCCATGATTATAATGACTTCAGCATTTATAAAGAATAATTTTTAATACACATCATGTTAAGTCATTTTTTCTTAGACATATTTCTAAAGATTTGACAATTTCTTCATTCTTTGAGTCGAAATCATCCACAAAAAGACCAACACAAAAAAGTAAAAATCTTATCACATTCTATTTTCTTTCTGCTGTTTCATTTCATTTTCTCTCTCTTTCGTAATTTTTATTAATTTTTTGTTTGGACATTTTACAAAGGAAATCTCGAACCTAATTTATCCTTTTTGAATACACACATAAGACGAGAGAAAGAATTATCATACTAGTTCTTTAAATTCCTATAAGAACCTGTGTAAACTTATTAATTTTTATTTGAAAATTTTATTACTTTAATATATGTTTTCGAATTTTCGAACGTACATGTTCAGAAACCTTAGTGTTCGTTTATTTTCATGCCATTTATTTTCAAAGATACCGTTAAAAAAATAACCATAAAAGATTTTTTATGTTGAAAATAGTGATGTTTTTTAAAAAATAAACCTTAATTTAAAATGCATGTATTAAAAGAAGGAACTGCATTGATTATAATCAATCAAAAAACTTCACATGTAGCAATCGTGTTGCATTGGGCTATTGTGGTTGTTAACAGTCAAGACTGACACAACCGCCCGTTATACATCAACCAAATAATGTCAATTATAGAGATTATATTAAACTGAAGATAGCTGATTTTAGTGCTATAAACAAATGATGCCTAAGGCAAGAAATGAAATCTATGAGCAACATTTAGATAGTTATCATGAAGTTGAACAGTCTTAATTAAGAAAGACTTTTCGAAGTTTTTTTCGAAATAAACAAAAACCGAAACTAAACGAACACTGTTGACACACCTCTAACAATCATTACCAAAAAGAAAATATTGAAATATTTCAATAAATAAGATTTTTTTCTATTAGTAAGCCTTAAATATACAACATTTTTTAGATGGAAATTTACTCGCAAATAGTGTTGGCAACAATATTTTTACTCGTCTTTACTCCACAAGAAGGTAAAACAATATTAATATCAATTTGTAGACAATACTCAAATAATTTTAAACAAATATCTCAGGAAGTTCAATAAAATGTTGGGATTGCAGAAGTGATCTTGATCCAAAATGCAAAGATCCTTTTGATAACAGCACGTTATCAATTTTGGACTGCAGGCAAGCTGGACAAAAAGAACATTTACAAGGTGTTGAAGCAACAATGTGCAGAAAGATAAGACAAAAAGTGCACGGAGAATGGCGATATTTCAGGTCGTGTGCTTGGATGGGGGAACCTGGAATTGGAGGTGATGAAAGATTTTGCTTAATGAGAACAGGAAGCTATAACATATTCATGGAATATTGCACTTGTAAGTAAATATTGAAAATATAAAATGAACATAAAATTGAATTTGCGTATTATTTTAGGCAATTCAAAAGACGGATGCAATAACGCTTGGTCTATCAACGCAAAGTCGTATCAAGTTTATTTTTTTACTCTAATGTCTTGTGTCATCATGTTTTTGAATTCCTTCACCTAATTGATGCCTCCATAATTTTTATGAGAATCTCAAGCATTCAACATTCTCAAACTTAATTTTCCAAATATGTTTAAACTGTTCCGTCCAATATAGAATTAGAATTTTATACACAAATTGATATAAAGTTAAATAAAATTAGGAAAAGTCTTTCAATAAAACAGAAATTTTTAAATTTAAATTTTAATTACCTATACGTATGACTTTAAAAAAGTATTTGCTTATTACTTATAATATTATGAATTAGAAACATATATTTTATACATATTAGGTGCATGAAATAACCAAATTAAGAGATTGCGTTGAAGACGTTGAGTGAGAAGAGTTTCCTGACATAGGCAACCCGGATTACCCTGATAAATACCAAAAATCGACTGAGTGAACTCGATCTCTGTTAATTTTTTTGTTTATATTTTAAAATTATTTTTTAAAATCATCATAATGAACGAAAATATAAATCAAAGATTTCTGTTCTTACTAATTATAATTTCATGTCTCATTCCAGCAAGTAAGGAATAAAAATATTATAAATCATAGGAAAAACAACTTAATTGCCACTCCCTTAAAATTATTATTTCATTTTTAATTTCAGTTACTGCGATTAGTTGTTATCAATGCTCTTCTCAAACAGATCCAAAAGGTGTTGATAAATGCGGAGCATACCTTAAATTCAACAAAACAGAAAACATTGCAATAGAGTGCAACAGTGATGAATCTCATATGCCTGGATCATTTTGTATGAAAGTAGTCCAACAAGGTCCCAGAGGATTCATTTGTAAATAATACAAATATTTAATTAGATAAATATAAAACAGTCACTGATATCCATTTGTTTTAGGGGACGGTCGTTGGAGGCAAGTCATTCGTCGTTGTGCATCGGTGGCAGATACGGGTGTGACAGGTGTCTGTAATTGGGGTGTTTATGAGAATGGAGTTTATTGGGAAGAGTGTTATTGTGCAGAAGATAAATGTAATCGTTCTAATAATCTCAAACTCTCCATTAAATCTTTGATAAGCACACTCTCACTTGTATTCGTATTAAAATTCCTACAATAGATAAAACATCTGAAGATAGAAGAAAGCACAAAAGGAATTTTCCCAAAAGATTCATTCCTGGATATTTAAGATTTTTTTTGCATGTTTAAAGAGGTGCGAAATAACTTTAAATTGAAAAGATTTCTCATTTATTTTTAAATATGTAAGACATTTTTTGTACATGAATATTTTAATTGAAATAAATTCCGTCCAGAAATAAAAACAATATTCTAAACTGCAAAAAAGTGCTGAAAGGAAAATTATTGGATAGAAGAGCTGCTTCGAAATTTGATAAGAATACACGACGGAATCAACCGCACCAACGACACTTTGTCATCCAAAGTGTATAAAGCTATAAGAAATGTTAATTTTCAATTGCATGCTTGAGGTGGAGATGTCTTTAAAAACTGCAAATGTTGCAGAAGTAAAGTCATTTGTAAATTAGAAACAGCTAATAAGTTCGGAACTGAAAATTGTCTGCCATGTATTCAAAATATTTAATTCACACTCAACGTCCAAAATTCTGAGTCAGGACTACAATTCATTTATTGTTAACATTATTAAATAACAGAATATTGATTAAAACAGATTGGTTGTGAATCTTATTTATAGTCAATTGATTCGAGTTTGTTCACGTCATTATTCCTAAATAATCTGGAAATTTATTTGGATAGATTCAGCTCTTAAAGAAATCTTTAATATTTTGGAATAAAAAGCGATTGGATAAAATTGAGGATTTACATAATAGACATTGTTTTGATCACGATAGCTGATATCGGCGATAACAACAAACGAATTATATGACATTGAAAGTAGCGAGTTTGCCTCTAGTGTGAGTACAGATACATCGAAATGGTTAAATTGTATTTCTTCACACTTAAGATTAATATTAACATTATTAACAACATTATAAAGATTCGCCGAAAATGATAAATATATTTATGACATCTTTACTTTCATCAAGATTTCATTATCTGTAATGGAATTTCTGCTATAGATAATGAAAGTCAAACTCATAGCTAATTTATGTAAGTCTAGGTAGCATAAGTTGAGTCAAAAGTTAATTTCAGTTTTATCAATTGTCTTCCATCGGAATGAACAAGTATGTTGAAATCAATGGAATTACTTCTATTTGCCTTTAATGGTAAGCTTGTGTCTTATTTTGAAATCTCCGCTTGTGGTTTTCAGTACTGCTCTGCAAATGGATAATCTCAAAACTTTTAAAACATAAATGGTAATTTTAGATCCAATCTTATCTCACAGTTAACAATTATTAAATTAAATTCATTATATTTTTTCGACATCTATTGTGTTCACATGTGTTGGTTGTTGACTTGGTTGATGATTATGCATACTGTAATAATTTTTAAGATATTTTTTTAATTTTTGTTTTTGGTTCTTAAAAATAAATGAATTAATGTACCTTGCACCGCCAGTTGAATTTGAGATACTATGGCCATCTTCAACTACACTATTTTCGTATTTACTTGTCTCTGCAGAGCTTGTTGCATTTATATGATAACTTTTACGACAAATGCTCAAATTTTTGTTTAATGGACTTTGAATTGTGAAAAAACTACTGGATTTGGGCTTAAGATGACGATTGTTCACTTCCATTTGTACAATTTTCATAAACTCGATTTGACCAGCGAGTTTTTGTATCTGTTCCTGTAAAAATAAAAATAAAGATACACAACATAGCAGCATGCAAAAATTAACATCGTACCTTAAGCTCTTCATTTTCATGATATATGTCAACACCTTCATCAGGCATGAGACCTCCGCCATTTCCACAAAACGAAGCTGTTATGCCTCGAGCTCTAGATCGATGATCCCATTTATCCCCTTCTCCTCTCATAACACGTAAAATTTTAGGTCCAAAAACAAGAATAATTGTTATAGTAGTAGATAATTGAGTACGGATAAAGCCCAATAGATATTTGATATCGGGACCAGCTTGTGGAAATATAAACAGACTGTTGCAAAATAGAAAGAAAAACAAGATTATAAGAGATAAAATGATAAGATAAAAAAAAATCTCAAGTTTCACAATCAGATCACTATTTAGTGATATTGAAAACCGCATGCTGATTTTTTGTTGGTTTGAATTACCGGCATACGATATTGTGGCAAGAAATCCAAAACACACATTTAATCACAATTACCAATTACAATTGAATAACATAGCAAAATCGTTATTTCTAAGTGTCACGCAATTGGACTTATATGGTAAGTTAAACGGCAATTAAATAGTGATAAAAAAATAAACACTCACTGAATTGCTACCATCATAATGTTAACAAGAGCAATATTGTAAATTGCGTAGGAAATTAGTTTTGCTTCGTTGTAAAGTGATTCTGCATTACGAACGTTGTAACAAACTCTAATTCCCCAAAGAAGGAATAAAACTTCACCAATAGCCATAGCATGATCCCACCAGTTATAGCTACACTGCTTGAAAATTAGACCCTCGATATCTTTAATCTAATTTCGAAATAATTATCAGTGTTAAAAGGACGAAATTAATTTCTGAAATTTATTGACGATGAAAAATAAAAAAAATCTGTCTTCGGGGTTTTGAAAAAGCACCCAACACAGGCTATTTTGTAATGAACTGTTAAAAAAAATGATTGATTAATATTATATTATTAACCTCAGTAGCTGTTGGTGGTTCTGCAGCCGTCCAGGTTCCTAGATATATTCCCATGACCAGTAAAATTGGCACCATCCATTGCAGCAATTGCTTGTCTGTTAATTTTACTTTGTGTGCAGACTTTACTCGATATGTCAGCGAAACGCGCCATGTTTTCATGAGTAACGCTGTATACGTGATGCAAAAACCTAAATTTGAAGAAAATAATCTTTGAGAAATATTGACACACAGAGATTCTGCATTAACACTTTTAATAATTAACGCAGAAATACTTAAAAATAAAAAATTAACGCAACTATTCCTTACCCATATGACGTGTCCATTTTGTTGCTATACATGCTTTCTTGTTAAGTATAGGAAAAATAGCTGCCATCTCAAGGTACATAATTCCACAACCTACTAAACAAATCATCAAAAAGATTGGACTTGCAACTTTGAATACTTTAATCTTTCGGTTGTGATACATATAAGCAGCCAATGTCATGGTGAAAAACACACAAAATATTGATATCGTTAAGATAGCAATTCTGTGGGAATAAATAAAAACTATTAACATTTTTCTTTTATACTTTCTAAGAGTTACTGCCATACCTGAAAGGCCAATTATAAATTGCTAAGCAAGGTGTTGGGCCAGTGCAATTGACGCATCCTTCCATGCATGGCAAGCACAGAAAGGAATCAAAATAGAAAGAACTAATATTTGAGAAATATTCCTCATAGGCCACTTCCATTATAGTTCCGTTGAAGCCATCTGGATGAACGATGGAGTAAAAACCTTGTTTACATGTGCACTGATATGAACCTCTGGTCCAACCGTTGATAGTATGCACGAGGTTGTTTTGATAATATTGTGGACGGAACTGGCACTGTTAATGAAATTAAATATTATGATTTACGAAAATTTCCTCAATATTAGAATCAAAATTTCTATTTGCTTACATCCATGCTATTTTGATGACATTTGTGCGAACCATGAAAAGCTTCAATTTCATTATCTAAATTAAGATTGAAGTGGTACAAAGTTAGATATATGCTGTAAATTGTTAGAAATGATTTTGATTGAGTAAAATGTATTATTTACCTGAAAAACTTGCAAAGTGCACCTTGCTGTGGCGGTTATTAATAATTTTATCACATTGATTTATGTGCAATCCAGAAACATCGATATCTATGCTTAAAAATCCCCTTAAACTAAGAAAGAAAATTAAACAGAAATACTTACTTAATTAAAGTAATTGAAGTAGATACTTCTAATAGTATTTTAATAAAAACTAGAATTTACTTCTAATATTTGAAACAAAAAATACTTGTACATACTCTGGATGGTTAACTGGGGCTATAGCAATGCTATAAGAAAGAATCCATTTACGTTGAGTACATGAATAGTAAGGAAAAGTCCACCACCCACGAAAAGAGAGATTTGGAGGCGGTGAAGTAAATTTTGGAGACCTAAGCGTTGGTGTTGACGCTGAATCCTCAAACCTGTTTTAGAATAACCAATGTTAAAGATAATTAATATATTGCATCATGCAATAACAAGTTTATGTATATTAAAAAATCTCTTACCAAGGATAATAGGAGAAAGATTTTTTCGTCATTGAAAGTTCGTCGTTCTCGTCTAATCTTATTGGCTGCCCCAGTTCTTTTCCTCCAGCTTTCGTCCAAGATACGGATGAAATTAAAATCCCCGTTGATAAATTTGTTGCAAGTATTCGAGTATTTATTACATTTGGATCTAATAGGAGACCTTTGGCAAGAGTATCTGGTAAACCTAAAATTACAATCAGCAATAACGTCATTATCTTAATTGCATTTAAATTTATCAAACTTTTCATATTTTCAATAAAACTTACCTGAATGATGATTAAATCCTAAGTCTTGAAGAACAATTGACGCTAAATCCGACTTTTGTCTGACAGTATCGTAACTTTCTGTATTCAGTGATATCTGCAAAGGGCTGTAATGTTTCGAAATACATAAAGCTCCAATATTTTCCGTTGATATATCATGAACGGTTTGCAATGACGATTCAATCTGATAAGTATAAAAATAAAAAGAAATAACAATTGTGACATTTGAGTTATTTTTCTGACAGTCGTCAGTGTTCACAAAATTTTTAATCCTTATTTTCTCTATTTCTACAATTTCAGACTATCAATTTTAAATTCACTTTCGTTCAGGATTAAAAAATATTTACCTTTGATGTTGTCAGCGCTTTGCCTGACCATGAATTCCCTTGCATCAAAATACTTATTGTTATCAAATGGATCAGAAAAGAATTTAGTTTGGTGAAACACCATAATATTAGCTTAGGTAATCCTGACATCACGCACATGCATTTGCCAAAATCTGTAGAAAGACACATACACAATAAATATCTTTTAATAATAAAAGAGCTTTCAACTTTCCCAGGAAAATGAATTTGACACTGATGTGTCTGAGAAGTCAATAAAAATTATCTCATGTTCAGGTATGAAAGTTGGAAAAACAACCCACCATTTTAATTTTCTTATAATATTTCAAGATACAAAAACAGAATGAAAACATTGACGAAAAACTCTCCCACATCTTTCCTCATATTTTTAAATTATTATTTAAAGTATAATAACTGGATAAATCTTAACTTATTGTTAAAATTTTTCGCAACGAGCTTATATTTGAGTATATCTAAATCAGAATTATTTGAGCAGGCTAAAGTACTAGAAATTGTTTTAATACATGCCACATTTGTTAATTTCAATACTTCAATTGATTTGAAGTAAAACACGGTTCCAAAACCATATGTTTAAGTACTGAATCCTTAAATATTTATAAAGGTAGACACTTTTATGTAATAAATAATGTATTGATATTAATACCATTTTTATTCTCTTAAATTTACCCTTTTTTGCAAGCTTATAAAATAAAATATAACAAGGTTTAAAAAAATCTAAGCCTGATTAAAAGACGTTATTTAGATTTGATTGAGTGAACATGCACATTAAAATAGGTAGTATGTGATAGAACAAGAGTTCAATTTAAGCTTCATTTTTAGAAAGATTCACGGATCTTTTTTTATTTTCTCGAAATTTATCAAATCATTTCACATTCCTACCTAGGTAGTATTTAAGTTGATTAAAGCGGTTTGGTTTTTAATAATTATCATGAAACCTATAAACTTTATAGTTATCAGTTATATTTATATTCACTAAAACTATTATTTTAACATTATAGTATATTTAACTGTTTATAAATACATATATGCGTTTTGTGTAACAAGTTGCTTCCTTCACCCACGCAACAAACAATAAGAAATATCGCATGCGCTGGAATATGAAATTCTTTCTAATATCACTTCAGCACCTAGTTCGAAAAAGTATTTCAATGAAACTAGGTCCTTGCTAGATTAAACTTATTATTCATTTCAAAAATATATTTTAATTGAATTTGCATAAGTTTCACTCCAAATGAATTTCTAATAGCGAGTGGTTTAAAAACTAATCCAGAATTTCGGGTGTAAATCTAAATAATTGAGCAATACTTGACTATCTAGAATGATTAGGGTAAAATTTGAATTTGCCCTCGGCACTGGATAAAAAAACTGTTTGATTAAAATTTAATGAATAACTAGAAGTTATTTCTTTAAAAATTTATTATCTACTATTGATATAGCTTTGTATCTATAAAAAATTGATTGAAATATGAGAAGTTTTCATTTAGTTCTTTTTCTCTTTTGTCGTTTCTTTTTTTGCTTGTCCGCTGAAAATTTTTCTCAAAAAATAAATCCAACTTCCTACAGATAAAATCAGAACTAAGAAGATAAAAGCATAAATATCAATAATTGAATATGATATCCAATAAGCATCAGCAGTATGCGGTCTCATAAGATTCGCACCACCTGTTTCAATAACATATTCAGACCAGTATACGGCAGCTTCTAATGGTGGTATAGGCCGATGAGTATAAGCATAAGAAACTTTCTTTGCATTCTCTTTCTTTTTGATGTCTAATCCATTCTTCAAGGCTTGATAAACGGTTTCTTTATTGATATCCTGATATCTTAAAATAACTCCCATTCCTCGTTTTTCCATCGCTGCGGAATTAAGAAATTGATCACCATAAAAAGGAGTTGACACCACGGGGACACCACAAAAGGCAGCTTCTGAACTTCCAAGTAATCCACCATGACTGAAAAACAAACGAACGTTTGGGTGGCCTAAAATACGATGGAAATTGATAATCAAATGAATCTCAATTATAAATGAAAAACTATTACACAAAATTTTTTTTTGCGGCAACCACTTTTGAAAATAGACATTAGAAGGCTTGTTTAACATCGTCTCGTTTTCCCATTTCCAAAGAATAACTTGCTTAAGTTTCCCTACAGAATGCAATATTGCTTCAAGTTTGTGTTCTGGTAAAGTGTCAGCACGCACCATAGAACCAAAACTTATGTAAATAACTCCATCTTTAGCATTATCAAGAAGATTTTGAAGTTCCTAACAAAAGTGAAATGAACATGTATAAAAATCAGATTGTTCTGAAACGAAAATTATGCTTACTGGTTCTAGAGAATTGTCTGTCTCAATATGAATCCCACCAAGTTCAATAACATTTGGTGAAAGATGTTTTGCTCCGCTAAGAGAATAATGTTGATTGACAAACATCATTGAAACCTTTTTCGTCAACATTTCAATATCAGGAAAATCGCTGCCAAATTTACGTTTCAGTAATTCATTTGTACTTTTTTGAGTAAACATTTTATACATAACATTCATGTACACAAAAGTAAACCAATTTGATAGCCTCTTGCCAAACGTCATATCATCTGTTGCACCAATGAATGTTGTAGGATAAAATCCTGGTTCGTAAGGAAGTCCAAGTTGTGTAAAATGCCAAGGCATAATATTACAACTGCTTAAGCCTATAATCGGCGCATCAAGTTTATGTGCAATGCCAAGCATGCAATCTGTATTGAACTGCTCAACAATTATCAAATCAAACTTTCCACGAACACTTTGATTGAGAACATTTTCTACAGCTGACGAATTTAAAGTTTCGTCACAAGATTCTATACCCCATTTATACAGCATGAAGAATTCCAATAAGTGATCGTATGATTTAGGACTTTCAAACCACTAAAAGAAGTTATAATTGAAATAGGATAAAGAAAAGTTTAATAAAAATGAAACAAAACTTTAAATATCTTTCTTACATCCAGTTTCACTGCATTCACTAGATTCTGCTGATTGAATAATGGTTCATCTTTATAATTTACAATCGGAATCTTGTTAGGAAAGTGGCTTATAACAGTAACTTCGTGACCAGCTTCAGCTAAAACTTTCATTATAGGATGAAAAAATTGAAAGTGCGAAATGCCAGGATGAGGAAAAAGTCCAAGAATACGATATGCATCTATGGATTGTGTGTTATAAATTAAGATAATGGTGAATTGAATAATCCACTTTAGTGTCGTCATTGTGATACTGTAAACAAAAGATTGCAAAAATTTAAAACGTTGATCATTTTTTTTAAATAGATTTGTGTTGATTGATAAGAAGATGAATTTAAAGTTCTGCATTCGATAAAAAAGCAAACTGTTATGAAAAATCTACAAAGCTAAGAAGAAATCTGTTTATTAACAATCATGAACCACCTTAAAATCGTGTCTAATTGTGGATCACCAAACTCAATTTTCTTCGCCAAAATGAATTAGAGCTTCTTCAGGTTTATTGACCTAAGTTTCGCAATAATTTTTTTCCTATTCTTGTCCACTGTTCCGGAACAAATTTCTTTTCTTAATTGTTAATTAGAAATGCTTCAATTTATTGAAGGACTTTTTCATTCATATTTTTCCCTATTATTAATTCAAATCAAAAGAAATGTTTGGAAGATTTTTCATATTGAAATATTATCTATCAAATAGTGATAACTAAGCACGAGATAATAAAAATGATAATATCATGTAGGTCTCTACCTAGAAGAAACTATCAACTCATTTCGTTATTCAATTTATCAGATTTATAGAAACAACAATACAACTACAAATTTAGATTGTAGAAACTTTCGCTATAAATGCTTTCGAGCGTCTCAAAAGTGATCGATTATATACACTGACTTCTTTTTCTTGATCACAGGTCATTTCTATTTTAGAAGTACAATCACCTAATTTTTTATGTTGATATTAGATAATTAAAGAGGTTTATTACCTTTATAATATTTATTGTAGGACAACAACTTAGTGACAAAATAACATAAAAACAACCAAACTTAACTCAAACAAGTTATCTCCAATACATTCGATCTTGAACAATGGCTAAACCAAACTGATCAAAAATAGAATCGACAATATTTTAGTAAGATTAAGAAAACCATAAAACTACTCTGAGAAATAAAAAGGTGACTGAGACGAAGATTAAAAAATGAGAGAAAGAAAAAAATTTGAATAATGCACGATGTAATTTTCTGTATGAGAGACCGACTAAAATTAAGTAAACATTCGTCAACTTGTTGAAATTTCATTATGATCTCTCACTCAAAATGACAAAAAGTATCAATTGGAATTTGAACTCGCCGAAAGCTAAAGTTTGTACGCATACAAAACTTGTACAATCAGTTTGGTAAATAAAAGAGAATGCCGAAATTTGATACTTCTTATGACCTGAGTTACTCAGGTGGCATGACTTAAGGAAATGGTCAAACAATAAAGTATTGATTTACAGTAGATATTTGACTTTCTGAAGATAAGAAATTTTATGAGTTAGACAACTTAATTTTCATAAAAATATGTGACATAAGTATATTCCACCTCGGGCATCGATGATTTCCCTATTGAATTTCTGTGACTTTCTCTCATTTCTGAAAAAGCTGCAAATCAGAAGAAATTTGGAGCATTTTGGAAAAACGTTATTATGCCCCTTAAAATACAAAAATTCGATTCTTATAGGTAGATAAAATAATGTAATAAAATAAACTTGTTATAGACAGAATTATAAAGTATCTAGATAATTATTAGTTTAATTCTACTAAAAATATCAAAAGCCTATCAAGGTACAACATTCCATGGCTTGTAACTTCCAACTGCTTCTTCTTCAAACTGTGAAAGGAGTGAATAAAACTTATTAAATTTCATTTTTGTTATTCCTTGTTATCGCTATTACTTACGTTTTCTGTAATTTTATCTTGACACGCCATCCTTATTCTTGCTGATGTTGCTGGTGATTTCATATCAAAATTTGAATTAAGGTTTTCATCGAATCTTGCTGCTGCAATTGCTTCCTTGATGGCGAAAAATACCGATGAAGCCAAAAATAATGGAGGCTCTCCAATAGCTTTTGACGAATAAACAGCTCGAGGATTGGGAGCACCAGTCAACATCGACACATTGAACTCAGCAGGAATGTCGGCAAACCCTGGAATTTTATACATACCGGGACCACGTGAATATAAAACTCCCTCGGGAGAATAAATGAGTTCTTCCATCGTATAAAGACCATATCCTTGTACAAATGCACCTTCAATTTGACCAATATCGATGGCTGGGTTGATTGATGATCCAACATCCATAACAATGTCTGTTCTAATGACTTGATGATCTCCAGTTAAACAATCTATTTCAATTTCAGAAACGCCTGAACCAAACGTGAAGTAATTAAATGCATTTCCAGTATTCGTAGCGGGATCATAGTCAAGGTTCGGAGTAGAATAAAATCCAATTGCTGATAATTGAACTCTATCGTAATATGCTTTATTCACCCACGCTTCCCAGCTTTCATCAGGAAATTGTTCGCGATATATTGATAAGCGATCATATATGATCTTGCATGCGTTTAAGATTGCAGCACCGTTTAGATCGGAGCCAGCAGATGCAGCTGTTGGAGGTGTATTTGCAACTTTATCTGTTGCAGTTTCTTGAATATGAATTTTCTCAATTGAAATATTTAAAGCAGAAGCAGCCACTTGAAGCATTTTTATATGTAAACCTTGTCCCATTTCAACTCCACCATGCGAAATTAAAACTGAACCATCAACATACACGTGAACAAGTGCGCCATTCTGATTCAAATGTTTAGCTGTGAAAGCAATTCCAAACATAGTGTTAACTAAACTAATTCCTCTCTTCTTCCAACGATTTAATGAATTGAAGGTTTCAATTTCCTGACGTCGTCGCTGGAAGTCTGAGAATTTAATGACTTCTTCAAAACAACGGCTGACATTACATCCAACCAGTTTTTGGTTGTAATGAGTGAAGTCTCCTTCTTGAAACATATTTTTTGTCATGATTTCAATGTAGTCCTTTCCAACGATTTTTGCAACATCTCGAACAATTTGTTCGCCTACTAACATAGCTTGGGGTGCTCCAAAACCTCGAAAAGCTGTGTTTGATGGCAAATTAGTCTTTAGGAGAAAGGCTTCTATTCTGCAATTTGGAATACGATACGTATTTGAAAAATGAAAAATTGCACGATCCAATACTCCGAAAGATAAGTCAAATGAGTATCCTGCGTTATTATAAATCTTCACTTTGCATCCAGATATTTTTCCATCATTTTGAAATGAGACTTCATACTTGAAAAGGAATGGATGTCGTGTGCCAGTTATCATCATATCTTCATCTCTATCAAGCATCATTCTAACAGGTCTTCTAAGCTTATAAGCTGCAAATGCTACAGGTAATGCTACAACACATGCTCGACTTTCTTTTCCCCCAAAACCTCCACCTAGTCGTTTCGCACGAGAAACAACACGATTGATTGGAATTCCAAGAACATGTGCAGCCAATTTCCCAACTTCTGTTGGATGCTGCGTTGATGAAATAATCTCAAGTTCATCTGAATCTTTGGGAATAGCAATGGCTGCATTCGTCTCAAGATAAAAATGTTCTTGACCACCAACGCGAACTTCACCACTCAATATTTGATCTGAATTTTTAAAGGCTTCGTCTACATTTCCATTCTCTATTAATTTAGGGTACCCATTGAAAAAAGACTTGTGTTTGATAGCATCTTCAATCGTTATAATTACAGGTGTCAGTTCTTCATAAACAACTTTCACTAATCTTGCAGCTTTTTGTGCGAGTATTTGATTTTCTGCAACAATTGCACCTATGGTTTGCCCACAGCTTGTAACAATATCTTTTATGAAAAGTTCTTCGTCATGAAAAACAGGTCCAACTGTATTTTGCTGTGCAGTTAAATCTTTAGATGAATAAAATGCGTGAACTCCAGGCTGAGCTAAAGCTTCGCTAGCATCTATTGAAATAATTTTCGCGTGCGATTTTACACTCAAAACGAGAGCAAGATATAATTCGTTTTCAAATTTTGGAATATCATCGCAATAAACAGCTTCACCAGTAGCATGTTTGTAACCAGATGAATGCATTTTCGGTCGATAGATTGGATTGATCGAAGCTTGATTTGATGAAACTTTCTATAAAAAAAGAAATTTAAAATTAATGACAAGGAAAGAAGAAAAAGTTTTTAATAACAAACCTCAAACAACTGACAACTTTTTAATGGAAGACTGGTGAAGGTGTTGGCTCCACTTCTATCACGATCATTAATCAAATTTAAACCTAAAGCATTCTCCAATTCTTGAGAAATTGATAGAAACGCTTTAAAAAATATACTCAGAGTTAAAGAGCGACGATATAAAATCATCCCGCCAGGTGCATCCGCTTTCAAATGAATTTCTTTCACTAAGCTTTCATTAACAATTTCGATTAAGCTTTTATCCCAATATTTGCCTTTTACATTAAGAGAAGTTTGAGTTGCTAATATCGTCGTTGGAGCCATACCTCCATAAGCAATTTCTATGTTTTCTATTATATTTGTTCCATCTTTAAAAGTTACGTTAAAAGCCCCATTGACAATCGCAATATCATCATCGCGGCGTTTTGCTTGTTTGTATGCCACAAAGTATTGATTCTTAGAAGTTTTTGGAATTGAAATTGAAATCAAAATCTCTGAATCTTTAATGGAATTTTTTCGGTAACTGGTAAAGAAAGTTTGATCCATTTTTACAATGCGTCGACCTCCAGTCACACTTTCTACTTCCAAACTAAATAAATAATTAAGAATAAATAAATCAATTACAGGAAAATTTGTTATTTATATTTTCAACTCACTCGACAGCAGCTGCTAAGAAAATTGGATTCAAATCTGATATTGGGGAACCTGTCATTATATTGCCACCAAGCGAAGCTACGTTTCGAACCTGCTTTCCAGCAAACCAGTGAAACATATTAATCAAAGCTTTATAAACTCTCGTTTCATATTCTGCATTCACTCTGACTTCATGTTCTAGAGCCTCAAGAAGATCAGTCAAAGATACAGCTGATCCAACTTTCATTCCATCATCTTTAATTGTAATAGTAGTAAGTTCATCAATTTGAGTAGGATTACATAAAAATTTGTAATCAAAATGCTTAAATTTGGTTTCAATTCCAATTTCCGTATTACCAACGACTATTTTAGCGTTTGGGTTTGTTTCTTTGAATTGAAGCAGTTGTTCTATGCTTGTTGGCCGATACCATACAACATTTCCTTCATTTTTAAATAAAAGTGTTTGTCGATCATATATATCAGAAAGCTTTAGTTCAGGAGGAAATATTGGTTCTTGCGACGCATCGTATGGTAAAAATTCACTACGATCAAATAATTCGTTAGCGACTTCAGTTCCAAAAGAGTCAGCATTTAATTTACAACACTTCTCTCCCATGCCGCATTCTATTTTATTATCATCAGTAAATGTTCGAAAGCCTTCTAAGATTGGACGATATCCAGTGCACCTGCACAAGTTTCCTTGAAACGATATTTCTAAATCTTTCATATTTGGGTTTGGCATGCTTCTAAGTAATGCGTACATGGACATAACAATGCCTGGGGTGCAGAAACCACATTGCGATCCATGAGCTTTTGCAATTCTTTCTTGCACAGGATGCAAACGAGTTCTCGTGCTTCCAATACCTTCAATAGTTGTTACAGCCAAACCATGTAGGCTACAGACTGGCGTTAAACAAGCATTAACTGCGAAATGCTTAACGATTTTTTTCTTTCTATCAAATCTTGATAACATCACTGTACACGCACCACAACCACCTTCTGCACATCCCAATTTTGTTCCACATAGATGAAGCTTTTCACGAAGATAACGAAGAAGCGTACATTCTGGATCAGGTTTTGTATCAACTACCTAGATAAGATAAAACTGGTAATTTAAAAACATGTTCTCGTACATACATATATGTATGTATGTATTTATTTGTTTCAATTTATAAGACTCGCAAGTTATATGGTTTCGTAATGAAACTTTATCTGTAATTTTTTATAAATTGTATTTAAAAGGATGGAAATGAATAACAAAATGCACCAAGTTGTAGGTATTTAAAAACGATCATTGTAAATAGCTGATCTGTATGATAATTTGGTTTTGAAGTTCTTATTGTTGTGAATCGTAAGGTCACATTACAATTGATAAGGAGAATAAATTTGAAACATACGTAACTACATAATAATATTTCTTTTTTACTTTCTTCTTGCCTTACTTTTTTGCCGTTCACGAAAAATGTCAATGGAAAAATCCTTTCACTTTGAGACATTTCTAAAATTTATCAGAAATTTGTATTGCACAGCTTATAAAAATTGCACAACTTTAAAAGCAGAAGCACTTTATGACTGCTCTGTTGAAGAAAAAAAGAGAAACTGATGATCACTATGTAGTGATAATAAAGAGTAAATTGGAAATATTCTCAAGTGAAATAATGTTGTATTAGTGTGCAATTTAATAATTTATAATAAATAATCTGTAATGAATAAATTGGAATATTTTGAAGGATAATTTTAAAAATTTAATTTATATACATTAACCTTTTTATTAGTTTAAAGAATAAAATACATTTCACTATTTTTATAACTTTTTCTCACAAGTTTCATACAGTTTTGGAATTTCTATTAAGTTCTTCCTCTAATGCAGTTCCTTCATAAATTGCCTGCTTTCTCAAAGCTGGTGATAGCTGACTATATAAGAATTTCGTTTTTGAATAGTTATAACTGAAAAAAGGAAATATTAAATTAACATCATGAAATGCTCCTCAAAATTAATTCAAGTATTCTCTTTTTTTTCATGTGACTTACCGGCAGTTGAACCAGTACGCAATTGTTGTGCAAAAAAAGGTTCCAAATCCTATGTGCATTGCAAGTTGTGGTCTTGATGTTCCCATGAAAGCACACAGTCCAACAAGAAAACCTCCCCCCGAACCATAAAGAAAACTACTTCTGAAGCAAGGAATTTCAGCAACATTTCTTCCATAAACAAACAAATTCTAAAACATATTTCATTGAATTAAATCTAAAAAAATCAATGTCGTAGAAGTTTATTACTTACTCGTTTGTCTTCTTCGAGATCCATATCGTCATTTTTATCACTTGTCATTACTATTTTCTTTTAATTTTTCTCAGTATTAATTTAAAAACTTAAAAACCAATAATTTCTATTGCGATATAAATTGAAGGAAATATACCTAGTTAGAAGCGTTATACCCCACCTGTCTACCTTCAAAATTTAGTACAAAATTCTTACCCAATTTTTAGACCATAATATCAGAAATGTAAAACAAAAACATGAAAAATTCTGGTAATTTCTATAAAATAGTTTAAAATTTAAATTTATTATGGAATCAATAGAGAAGAAGTAATCAGAAATGAGTATTTTATAGTAGATACAACAGAACATAAGAATATTTATTTGTTATGGGTAAGTGAATTGATAGAAAGTTTAAAAAACAATGAAATTTGTGCTTCTGTTATTTTTCCGAATTAAAATTTTTATTTCTTCGTGATCGGAATTTTAATTCATTAATTATGAAGTTTTGGAATTTGTAAAAACTTATGTAAGGATTTACCCCCATTTTTGCGTCAAATCCAAACCTTACTTTTTAGATCCATACGAACAAAAATTGTTTCACTTGTTTTCGAACTATGAAAATGGGCAAGGCTACATCAATTTGAGTGGATTGAATGAGCTAATTCACACACTTCAATTAAAGGAAAGAGGTCCAATGCTTAAGTATCTTTTAATGAAAAATGATACCAAATGTAAAGTGACGTTTCAAGAATTCCGTGAAGGCCTACTTCATGTGATAACAAGTGATAGTGACGGTATGAAAGAATCTTTTCTAGTAAGCACTTTGTTTGGTGGTGGTCCTTTGAAATTCAACACAAACAAAAGTCCTTTTTGAGAATCAAGCAAAAAAAAGATTTATTTATATTAGAATCTATAGAATCATAAGATTTAAATCAAGTCTATGCACTTTCTGTCTTTTCTTCCTAGATTCCTATTTATTTCATTAAAAATCATTTTCCTTATATCTTTCATTTATTTATTTCATAAATTTTCTATACTCTCGATATGTATGACATAAAAGAATTTCTTTTAGACAAACTGTTGAAATAGTTTCAATAATACACAGTTTTGGATACTCAGTTTCATTATTTTATCATACTTTTTTTTTTGTAAATATCATATTTAGTGGGTATTTATACAACACACACAGAAGATAATATTGACAAAAAAAAACATTAGTGGAGTATATTGGGTAGCTGTATATAAATATTATTTTTTCTTTATTCGATGAGTGTAAATTTTATTTTAGTTTTTTTTATTTGTTTTTAATTATTTTTGTATCTTAAATCATTATCACCTATTTATGTCTTTAATACACTGACAGGCTACTTTTTTTATTCGGGTCTTTCCTTCTTTATTTGCTATTCATTCACTAAGGCCGTGACTCGTTTTTCAGCCCACGTGAAGTAAAAAAGATATTTAGTATATGCATAATAATATTTACATATCTCTTTCTTTTAAAAACTTATATTTCTTATTTTTTTCCTTCTAATTTTAAACTAATTTGCTTCTTTTAGAAGCCTCTGTCTCGACAAATACACAAGTGCTAGAAATATCAGAACCCGTCACAAGTGATTTGGAGTCTGACCGAGAAATTTCACCAAAACTTATTGTTGGTACTAAAAAATATGGTCGTCGATCTCGTCCAACAGAAGATGATCAGAATATTGACGATTCCTCTGACTCTAACAATGAAGCTGCTTCGGAATCAGCCTTAAGGAAGAAAAAAGCTCTCAAAGTTCAACGTTCGTCATCTCAAAGTGAAGTTCATCATAAACAAAGAAATACATTAAAACGTTGTGCTTCACTTCCATCCCATAAATCATCTTATTTAGAGATCAAACTCAGACAGTGCAAATTGAATCAAGATATGAGTATGGACGAAAGCGATAACATGTTGAAAATTCAATCCTTTTCTCAGAACTTACGTTCAGTATGGAATAATTCTGATGTGAATAAATCTGGGAGCTTGAATTTACAACAATTAGAAATTGTTTGTGAAAGAGTTGGACTCGACAAAGAAGCTGCTAAGTTAGCAGCAGAAGAAGTATTTGATAAGCTTTCAATTAAACATGATGATGGTGTGTCTTTTGAAAACTTTATCAAGCTGATTCAGAGTGATTCTGATGTGTTTTCTAGTATGGATAAAATCAAAAGTTCAACTAAACTAGACAGTGGCAATACAGAAGATGATAATCAGATTTTTTCCTGGTCTTCTGAAAATAGAATAATTGAAACAGAAAAATTGATTGATTTGTGGTCAACTGCCAACGTAGTTGATGCTGAGGAATTTTTGAAGAAATTAGGATTTAGCAATAAGTACGTAAAGCTTTCAAACTTAATATGTGTTTTAGAAGAAGAGCTTCAACAAAAAAATACTGTTGAAGTTCAAAGTTCACTTTTGCGTGGTTCTCTTGCACTTTACCGCAACGAATTGTCCATTTTATCCAAGAATTTTCAACAATTATCACAAGAAAACCAGAAATTATCACTCGATAATAAAGAATCAAATCGAAGAGCTTCGATTCTTGTTCAAGAAATTGATGAACGTCATAGAAATATGGAAGATTCCAATTTAAGCATGATCAAGAAAATGGAAATGCGACATAATGAAATGATGAAAGAATTAATTGAGCAATCATCTGCTGAAAGGGATCAACTTACACAAATAAATGCGAAACTTGAATTAAAGCTCCATAAACTCGAATTAAATGATCAGAAACTGCAGCAAGATTTCACAAGATTGAAGGATGAGAATAGTGCCTTAGAAACGGAACAAATGGAGCTTCACAACCAAATAACTGATATGCTAGAAAAAAACATTAAACTTAATCAAGAAATCGCCAATATTGAAAATGCCGATAACAACGATAAATATGATTCACACAACGAAGAAATTCTTGATCTCATTGAGAAAATTGAAACACTTCAAATGGAAAATTCAAATCTTCGTGATAAGAATGATGAGTTATTGTGTGATGTTGAAGCCCTTACTCTAAAATTAAACACGGAAAAGAAATTAAATAAAGGAAAATTGTCTAATCGTGATTTGATCGAAGACCAAGAAAGTACGACAACTTTTGCTACTAAGCGGCGTGGCGATTCTCCTTCGAAATCGAAAAATTTGGAAGAAAGTCCACGAACTGGAAAGGTTCCTAAATTTAGTAGCGATCTGGAAGAATTAGATGCAATTAATCAAATGAATAAAGAATGGGTGATGCTAAGTAATGAAACTATGACATCAGCATCAAATCACAGTGAACCAATTCTGCATTCCAATTACGATATAAAAAATGATGAACATTTGAAACAAAGGATAGTTGAGCTTGAGAAGAAAGTTGTAGAGTATGAAAGCAAACTGAGATGTAATGAGCAATCAACTTCAGATGAGGTGACACAAAATCTAACTGATTATTCGAAATTGAAGAGGGAAAATGCTAGACTAACAACTAGATGTCAAGAGTTGGAATATAATCTTGAGGAAATGAGTAAGGAATATGAAAATTGTGAGGATTATTGGCAATCTAAGCTGAATGAAGAGCGACTGTTATTTGATGAAGATCAACGACAAAATGATGAAAAATTTGCTGAGCTTCTGCAAAAAATGACAGAAATTGAAGAGGAACAAATTGCAGCTCAAACAGGAAAGAACCGTTTGACACCGATCGAGGAAAAATGTCATCTCGAGAATCAATACATGGAATTAGAAAACGAAATGGAAGAACTAAAAGTTCACGCACAGTCAGTTTTATATGAAAAGAGTCGAGAGATTGAAAAACTTCAGCTTGAAATAAGTCAACTTCAGAATAATTCAATTGTTGTGAAGTCTCAACAACGATCAATTTCGCCACAAAGTGCAGCCAGTTCTCCAATAAATTATCTTCTCAATCAAAACACAATTACAGATCCTATTAGAGATTATCAAAATCCAAACTGGGTAATTAAAAAAACTGCACCAATAGAGGAAGTCATTGCAACAAGTAAGGAAGAATCATCACGATATGTATCACCAATTCAAAAACCACAATCATATCAAAAAGAAGCTTCAAACACCACAGATAATATTAAAAGTAACAAAAAAATGCAGGAATTCTCTGATGCTTTATCAATGAATTCAAATCGTTCGATAGGATCAAACAGCATACATTCATTTCAAGAGTTTCGTGATCCAGACCTTCATACATCTTCATTTACTGATACCGGTAATGGAATTGATAAAATGAAAGAAATCAGAGATCGGATAAAAGAAGAAGTTTTTGAGCTCAACACCCAAAGGGATAGCCTGATAATGGAACTGCAACAACTTCAAGAAGCGAAACCAATATTAGCAAACACTTATGTAATTTTCAACAGTCAATTATCGAAAAACATTTCTTTTAATTATTAACTTTCATTTATTCAGCAAACAACACATCCTAATTTGGCACAAAAGGTTGAGAAGCTCCAAATGAAGAACAAATATTTACAGAATGTTCTTAAACAACAGCAACATTATGCAGAGACGATAATGTTTCGTAAGTTTTCAATAATATTTATTTACATATTTATTTATAAATTATTTATATATATTTATGTTTGTAGAAACTTGGCATCAGCAGCGTCAAGAACTCAATGATCTAAGAAATCATCTTGAAGCCCAGACTGTTGTTATATCAGAACAGGCAACTCGACTTGCAAGTGCTGATATTCTTGTTAAAGACTTGTATGTTGAAAACTCTCATCTCAGTGCAACAGTTCAGCGAATGGAGCAACAAATAACAAAACAGAATTTTATGCAACACGTTCAACACAATCATCCTAAATCACAATTGGGGAGCATGTGAAGCATTACAGGAAAGCCTTAGTAACTGAAATAGGGTATAAAGCTTACGTACATGTATGAATATAAATACATGCAATGATACCAACTCAAAATCGTAACCAAATCGCTACGATTCGACCTTTTAAGTTCAGAAAACGAAAAAAAATTATATTCAATACTAGTAGTGCAAGTTTGGCTGCGATTTTGGAGAGTTGTGACTACCCTATTTGTTTTAAAACTAATTAGAAACTAAAATGTAATTAGATATTTATCATGAAATCATTTAAAATTTCCGAAGTTTATAAAAAATAATCAGAATGTTTTTATGGATAAATATTCCACATTAACAATACCTACACTGATTTATGAAAATATTGAATTAAATATAAGTAGATATAAATGTCCAAATAATTTATGTTGATTTCATTAAGTAATTTTCCAATTTTTTCGAGAGAGGAATGAAGAATCTAAAATTCCATTTTACTTCTTGGCCTGGTCACTTTTTAACTCAATTTCTATTAAAGTTTTATTACTAAGTATAGTAGATGGCTTGCCTTAAAATCGTATCCTATTATGAGTCACTATTTTTAGCTTCCTAAGTGCAAGAAATGAAGTACGAAAATAGTAACACAATTTTAAGGCAGGGCTTCACTCTGCTTCTTCATAGATTTAAATATCTATTTGTACTTATTAAGTTTTGATCATTGAAATGTGAAAATGTATCTTCAGAAATCTTTATTTAAATATTTGCTGTTTTGTTCTCATATTTATTTAATGCCATATTATCTACATTCTTCGAATTGAGTTTACTAGCTTTTAAATACCTACGTATTTTAAGCTTATTATAGGTAATAAAATGCAGACAAAATTTATAATCAAATATTTTTTGATAGTCATTTAGTATATTAACTCGTATAAAGAGAAATTATGAAAAAAATTATTTCAATGATCAAGAAATATTTTTATTACATTTTCGATGTATAGGAATGAATAACTTGCCAAGTGAAGTGCAAGGAATATTACTAAAGCTATAGGAACACGACGGAATTTGAACTGCACATAATGAAAAATTCAAAAAGACATTAAAATATCTACGATTTAATCAAAGTTTTAAAATAGACACACAAAATACCTTATAATTTATAACAATCTTCATTCAAAACTAGTTTCTCAAAATCAATCTATTCAGTTCTCGATTATATTTTAAAATACAAAAATTTTCAGGTGAAATCAAACCCTGCAATGCGAAGGGTTCAAACTACGCTACTCATAACTATTTATCCATTGATAACAACAGGTTATTAATAAAAATCAATTTGCAAGTTCTGTTTATCTCCAATTCAAGGTAAATTACGTTGTTTTCAGCTACGCTTCTAATTTGCAATAAGTATTTGAACATTACACATGTTTCTACAAGATCATTTACTAGTTATTGTCAATAATAATCGAATGTCTCCAAAATATTTCTAAAATTCTTAGAAAATAATATTTTCAAAATATCTATACTTTAAGTAAATCTTTTCCTAATTCCCCAGTTTTCGCTTTACGTAAAATAATATTATTCATTCTATATTTTAGATTATGTAAAATGGAATCACTTCCAAAAGAAAGCCTGGTTCACATTTTCAAACACCTTCCACATGCTTCCTTGATAAATGTTACAAAAGTTTGCAAGTTGTTTCATGAGATAATTTTTTCATTTGATTTAATCGATCATTTATACATCAACGACAAGAAAACTGGTTCATTACCAAAGTTATCAAAATTTCGTAAGGCTACTATTGCTTCTTATGAACCCAGTATTCATAAAAACATAATAAACACTGTTGGAAATGGATTAACGCAGCTTTATTTTTCCAAATGCACTTTACGCTTGGCTGATATTGCATCTATACTTCGTTCAACACCTATGGTCAAGATAGCTACATTTGATTACACGAAGATTTCTGATAATAATTTACCGGCGAACTTTCAAGATCCCCAGCTTGATGAACTAACTTTAATAGTCCACGAGACTGACCCAATTATTTTTCGTATCTTTCAAAACTGTATATTTGCAAAAGTAGATTTAAATTATTATGGTGATTCACCATATCATAATTTTTCGGAGTTTCTAAAATCCCTTTTGCAGCAAACAAAATTAAAAGAAATTTCTCTGAACGGTTTATACGAGACAAACTTATTTCTGATACCTATGCTTAAACCAACATATCATTTGTTGGAATTTAAAATTGAAAACTGTGACTTCGAAGAATGGGAATTTTTGGACATTTTCTTACAACATCATGTCGAAACATTGGAAAAACTTATCTTCAAGAAAATCATATGGGATCCTTCAACAATCTTAGGAAAATGTGTCAATTTAGATTACCTTCATATTCAAGATGTTGGAATTCCTGTTCGTCAAAATTTCAACAACCTCTGTTCAATCAAAACACTTTTGCTAGAAAACGCAACAATTAATGTTGAAAATTTTTCAAATGTTAAATTTCTGCATCTTACACGAACAACACCTGAATTGAATGCAATATGTTCAAAAGTAATGACGAATCTACTAAACGTCAGCTTTAAATCTGGTGACATTTCTGGTTTCAAGCATTCAGAACTAAATTCTGTGACATTGATGTCTCTTGATAATCGCATTCAAAGTCAGTTCTTTCATGAAAACCCAAAGATTGAATGCCTGACCATAAGTGACGTTTATACCATAGATGATAATCTTTTATCTGAAATAATGAAAAATCTAACAAAATTGAAAACTTTAAAAATTTTTGGCGATAATTTATTAACATCAAAAGCATTTAATATTATACGGGACAATGGAAAGTCACTCAAAGTTTTTGAAATGAAAAAATGGAATCAGAAATTTAAAAAAACTGATTGGAATTGCTTATATGAAATAACTGGCTTAGCTATTTATGTTGAAAATTTATTATAGAATACTTTCATACTTAAATTTAAGTTATTATTGAAAATAATCAAAATTATAAATCATATGAAATTCCTCTGAGAAGTAACAGCAAAACAGATGTAAAAATCTTGTGTCAGGCATCTTGACGATATATTTTGTTATTATTTGAATAAAGCATCAAAGCATGTTGCATAAGAACAAGAAGACATATTTTTATTGAACTGTACGTTTGTAGTCGAATATTTAAAAATAATATTTATAGAAAAAAATCAGCTAACATAACTATAGGAATTGACATAAAAGCTACAAGGAATGATTTTGAACTTTTGGAGGGGAAAAAAGTTCAATTTTTTTAGTATACCCCTCAAGTACATATTTCGGAATTTAATATTTTTTAATGTTTTTATAGATTTAGTTCTTAAACACTAAACATATAATAAAATGGATAGCAATAAATTTGACCTGTTATTTGTGGCAGAGAAATTCAAAAACTCTTTGAATCATGAGGATGATGTTCTCATTAATTTTTATTTAGAAGCTTTTCGAGAAATTCTCAAGTAAGAAAAAATATGATCAACACACAAATTTGTAACAATTCATATGTATGATTATTTTTTAGGTTTTTCCAACTGATGGGCTCAATATTCGGATTTGTATCTTCTGATGTCAAATCTAAGATTGAAATTCTAGAGGCATTTCAATTAAATAATGAAAAAAATGAACATTTTCAGTCAGTCAAAAAGATGATTACTTACGAACAAGATGAAGATCTGTTATACAAGAAAGATTATGTTTCAGGATGTAGAACTTTACTTAGACTTCATCGAGGATTAGGTAAAATTTTATAAAATAACAACATGAAATTCCAACACAATTCACAAATTACTCTTATTTTGTGTTAGATTTTGTAAGAAACTTTTTAAAGAAGCTGGAAACACTGTCTGGAAGTGAAAAAGCTGATAAAGTATGTTCTCAAAGTTATAACGAGACTTTGGCGAATTTTCATCCTTTTTTCATAAGGAAAGCAGCTGCCCTTGCCATCTATGCGATACCAACGTAATTAAAAATCTTTTTTTACTATTCCTTTGATATTTCATCTTTTCCCTTTTCTAGGCGAGATCAACTATTACAAAAAGTTTGCTCAGATGTCGCGTTGGCAATTCAATCTTTACCTGAAATGTTACAAGTTACTGATGTTGTCTACAACAGAATCAATGAACTTTATAGTTGTTATAATCTTCATGAACTTCCATAGATCTGTATTCTCAAACTACTTAATTAATCCTCTTCATATTCCAAAAATTCAATACATTAGAATTTATACCAAATCTTTTTGCTCAATATTTCATCATTTATTGAAATTGTAAAATTGTTTTATCATTTATTCTAGCTGATATGCTTCAAATACGAATAAGATATCTAAGCAAAAAAAAATAAATTATTTACCTATAAAGAATTCCCATTGTCATTTATTAAAATATTTTAGGATTTTATTTTCAGTAAAATCTTCTAATGAGTTGAAACCAGAGTTTCTGGTATATTATGCATGGCACAAATTTTTGCTGTTTATACTACTTATGCTATGAATTGTTCGTAAAGGATTGCTTACAGTTACGTTTACCAAAACATCTAGTTGGATTTCAAGTGCAACGCCCAAATGTGATACATCATAAAAAGCATACGAAAACAAGTAATTAATAAGAATAGAAAAATGCGTGCATTGCACCTCAACTTTAAATTAAAAAGCGGTCATGTGTTTAGAGTGGAGATGATCATTTTATATGCATTTAAAAGCAAATAGATAAAGTGATCCACTTCTTGCATTATCAGCGTTATCAATTTAACGTTTTGACTAAGTATAATTAATAAAATATCTTAACAAAGAGATAAATAAAAAAGTGGAAAATGTTAAAAATAAAATAACAACCGAGAAAAGAACTCACCAAATTTTTTCAAAAACAGGGACTCATTTCGGGAACATATAACAATCCAAGTAACAATCAATCTTTCATCATAAACAGTTAATTTTTTTAACTTTAATTTTCCTATTATGTATTTTCAATCATTTCATCGGTCATTAAAAGTCCAGCAATACTAGCGGTAATAAGCGATACAAAACATCCTGAAATAAAGGCTCGAAAGGCTACTTTAGTTATAGTTGGTCGTCTAGTTGGTGAAAGAGCGCTAAGTGCACCAATTAGTATTCCCATGGAGCTTGGATTAGCAAAACCACAAATAGCATAAGTAGCAATAGCAGATGAACGAAGCTTAAATTTAAAAAAATATTTAAATACTAACAATGCATGATTTCAAAAATATAGAAAAAATAACTTACAGATATTGTCCCAGCTCTCTTGTATTCTCCTAAAACTCTATAGGCAACAAATTCGTTTACAATCGTTTTTGTTCCAATTACATTACCAACAGCTTCACAATCAACCCAATCAATGCCTATTGCCCAACTTACAGGAATAAATATTTTTCCAACAATAAATTGAATGTCCACGTCATCGAATCCAAGCAAATAAGTGGACCATTTAAGTATTCCATCAATAAAAGCTATAAATGCCACGAAAGCCACAAGATTTGCTATGATGTTTAGAACTAGATTGATTCCTTGTGATGCCCCATTTGAGGCTGCGTCGAGAACTGAAGAGTCGGAACTAAAAAAAACATCTTAATTGTAAAGGTTTGTTGAGTTGAACGATTAATCTATACGGACGATTTCTCCATTTGAATATTCCCAGAAGAAGTCTTACTCTCTTCAGTTTCAGGCCACATAAGCTTCGAAATAAAAAGAGATGCTGGTGCTGCCATTACAGATGCAGTTATTAAATGTTGAGCTTCAGCGCCAAATGATATGTAAGCAGCAAGAACAGTTCCGGATACGGTTGCAAATCCAGAAACCATTACTGCGTGTATTTCAGAACTGGTCAATAAGTTTATGTAGGGTTTAATGATCAAAGGTCCTTCAGTCATGCCCAAAAATATATTCCCTGCAGCATTAACACTTTCACATACTGTTGTCCCTAATAGTGATTGAAGAATCCATCCTAATTTCAATAGAACCCATTGCATAGTGCCAAGGTAGTAAAGTACTGAGATACATAAACTGAAGAAGAATATCGTAGGCAGAACCGCAAAGGCGAATATTTCCTTTTCGATCACAAGAAAATCGCTATAAACAAATGTTGTCCCCTCTTTGGCGTAGTCTAAAAACTGGGCAATTTTGTCTCCGAAACATTGAAAAATCATCCTTCCTACTGACCATCTAATGCAAAATATACCCAGCAAAAATTGAAGAAGTGACCCAACAACTACTGGTCGCCATTTAATTTGCTTTCTGTGAGCTGAAATATTGTATGTTTAAATATGTATTTAGGAAATGGAATATGACAGCCGAATTAATAAAATCTGACAATAATAAAATGTCGATTCAAAATGTATTCTTTGGCTATGTCCACGTTTGTTTAACATTTATTCATGCAGAAAGGATTTCATTTATAAGCCAATTCCGAAGATGAGACTTGAAAATTAAATTTCATAGAAATTTTAATCAAGACTGATATATCTAAACGTGATTGAATTTTTGATGCAATATCAATACTAGCAAGGAAACATATTTGATCTACAAATTAGTATTGTCTGTTTATACTTATGAATACGGCTGAAAGAATCTAACTAATTTAATCACCGGAAAAAATAAAACATATTGCCACGATAGAAAAGATTCCTATCAGCGACCGTAGCCTTCTAAAATCCGAAAATGTTTCAAATGCAATATATACTGCAAGACCTCCAAAGCATACGGTTATCAATACATATTTGAACCATCTGAAATATAATTAAGAATATTATAAAAACGTTGCAGCTCTAAATTCATACACTTTTTTATAAATAGAGCTTACTGTGTTTCAAATATCTTTTTTGTAGATTCAAAACCTCTGCTATCGATGCAATTTCCAAAATATTTTTTTATAATTTTGAAATAGATCAGTCCTAAGTATACGACAGCAGTAAGGAAAATGAGCATTCCGTATGGTGAACAAAATGTTAGTTTACAATCAAATGTTTCACATTTGTTATTTTCAACTAGTAGAATTCAAAAAAAGAAGATTTATCTATGAGAAATGAAATCAAATGCATGTAATCCTTACTTCTTTCAAAAAATTTCACTATTGCAAAAGTAAAATATATTACAAATAGGGTTTTCCAAAACCCGTATTTTAAAAAACCCGAAATTTCGGGTCGGGTTTCTTTAAAACCCGCGGGTTTTCGGGTCGGGTCGGGTNAAATTTTCTTCACTTTTTTGTTCATGGCTTGATTAGATATATCAGGTCCTACAGGAATATCTGCAGAAGTCATTCCTATATGCTCCTAGAAAAGTAAATGTAGCTGATTATGATTCGACATAGTAAACAAAGTTAAGAAAAATAAAGATCCTTTATGATCTTAAATTAAAATAAAATTTTGAAACAAACTTTGTACAGATAAAACCAGGGAAATATAAAATAATAAATTTCGATTCACATACTTTTCTTGTAAATACTACATTTATATATTCGAGGTCAATTATTAACTTAAATTAATTGATACCAAGTTGATAACATGTGATTGATTTGGCATTATACTTGTGAGTAACACCAATCAAACTCGTTAAGGAAGTCGTATAATCTTCAGTCATAAAAGACGTAATGGCACGAGTGTGTAAAAAAATAAGATAGATTCATAATACACGAAGTTTTAATTAGGTATCTGTTATTATTTTTATGACATTTTTTGTCACATTTTGTTCTTTTAAATAATTCAACTATCAATAATAATTCAGAGAAAGTTTCAAGAAAACATCGTGATGCAGAGAGATTAAAGATCATTAGAAGCATAACATTTTGCAAAACTATACTTCATTGTAATTTTTGGTAATTATTCATTAGTTTATACCAGGGAAGATCGATTATGAGTGAGAAATAAAATCACCATTCCCCTATGTGTTATAAATCGGACTGGTGCAGGGACAATGCATTTAAGCGACCATTTACCAAAAATACGAAGTTTCATTTAAATATATAAAAGACATCAATAATTGTCAGTAATTATAATGCAATGACATAAATATTTAATTATTTCTCTATATTGATTTTATATTTAAAATATTTTATGTAATTATAATTTAAATAAATATCACTTACATCTGATAATTTTTCAGAAGAATCATAACCCAAATTTTGAATTCCACTCATATTTCTTTGAATTACAAACTTATCAACCAATTTCTCTATTTTTTTATTGTTATTTTTCTATGAATAAGCATGTGCCATTAGTAGTCACGTTTTATATTTTGTTTTTCTTAACTTTTTTATTAAAATATTAATTCACAACAATTCTGTAGTGAATGGAACTCTTAAATGTCGTCAACTAAACAGAAATAGGTAATTATTTCCTTGACACTCTCATGATAGACCAAAACAAGTCTCTCTGAAAAGTTAAATAAAACAGGTGATTGTGTTACTTAAGTATAGTAATATAGCTCAAGTTTTTGTTGTGTTATGCATAATGTATGCTTGTTTGTGTTATAGTCAAAAGTTTTTTCTTGATAGTATATTTTTATTTTAATACGACAATAACTAAGGTGAATGGTATAGATATATTATTGAAAACTTCACAACGAAGTATTTTTGAAAAAATGGCACTCAGAAAAAAAATATATTTGAAACAAAACGCATCTATCTAAGTTTAATGGTGGATGTTGCACTCGGACATCATGAACGGCTTGATTGGTTTATAAATGAATTTTCCAAAATTAAAAAAAAATATGAATGCGAAGGTCACATTAGTTAAATTTTTATTTATCAAATTAAATTTTCCGAAGAAAAATTGTCCTATCCTAGGGCATATTTAGAAGTTCTAAGTAATCTTCCAATGTATTTCCTCAAGTCTGACTATGAATGAGGAGTAATTTCTGTAATGAAAGTGTAGACCTTGCTTGCGAACTTATGACGATAATGATCTTTTGTTCGATCAGCTGAACAATCAGTTTTCTGTAATTTTGCAAAAAGCTATGGAATGTTTTTTAAATTAAAATGTCTGTTTATATCTTTTATAAATATTATTTATTTATATTTCAAAACTAACGGTCCCGCAATTTGACAAAATTTCTACTTAAAAGGTAAAGGCTTGAATTTGTGCTACTGACTTCTAAATACGACATTTGCAAATATGTTATTATCTTCTTCAAATAAGTATCATTCTTCATATTTCAACCTATCATAATCATGTCACTGTCGTACTCTGTTTTAAGAATGGAGCATAAATCAATATTTTCAATAGGCAGTACTGATGGCAGATATTGGGATGACGAACAGAACATATGATCCATATAATTATTTAATTCAATTGGTAAAGGTGTTGGAGAATGAGAAGCCGACATCATCGGATCTTTCAAATTCAAAGAACTCGTACGATTACTGTTGCTGATAACAGATTTGCTTGTTCTTTGTTTTTCTATGTTGCATAACTCAAAATCATCATCACTACTTTGAAGTAATTCAAAGGGATTCTGTTTGACTTTGGATATTTTGCTTGAAAATGATGATGATGAAATGGAAGAAGGTGATGATGGCACAGAATCAGAATGTGAGGATGAAGGCGGTGTATTGAATAAAGGTATTGATGATAATAGTGGATCATTTAGATCTTTTTCATATTCAATAAAATCCCCCAGCTCGTTTAGATTGATTATTTCTCCATTGTTCTCATCACCTGCATCGAAAATTTCTAAAGGTTTTTTCTATAAAAAGAAGAATTGACATCAAATTAATTTATGGCTAAAAGCATGACTTTCTTATCAACACTTACTTCAATTGCTTTCAGCTGATTTTCATCAGGTTTTTCTGAAGTGGATTCGTCTTTTTTATTGAGATCAAATTGTTCGATATGAATACCATGTTTTTTAGCTAACAACTCCAGTTCCTAATAGAAAAAACAAACAAATTCAAATATGAAAAGATTATGAAATCAGAGAACTAACCCGAATTCTTGTTATCATACGTCTTGTCTGATTATCTGGTTCTTTTAGTTTTTGTTCAGCTTTTCTTAATCTGTTAACTTCGTATTTTAAGCACTTAATGTAATCTACTGAGCTTTTTAAGATGGTTCCTTTGTTAGGCTGCCGTATGTGTAAGTCTTGTATGATGTCGTATAAAAATTCATTATTTTTTGGAAGCAATGTTCCTAACTCCTTAATTCTGTCGTTTATGTTAAAACGTCTCCTACGCTCAACTAAATAGAAGTAAATTAATAAAAAAAAATTAATTTTGCTTTATTGTTCTAATCTATTGAAGAAAAAAATTACAGATGAATTAGAAATTTTGAATTGCAATTCTCAATGTTTAACCATATTTCTTAATAAATGCGTCAGTATTTTATTGAGAACATTTTTTTAAGTGAAACGTTGGCTTACAGTAATCTTATCAAATATGTATTTCCCTTTAGCAAATTTCAGTAATTATGTCATTATAAAAAAATATTATCTATGTAGATAATATGCGAAGAAGACTAAACTTAGTCTAAATATGTATCAGAGCCTCTGATGAACTTTAAAGTTAGAACGTTGTATTTTTATTATGCAATGATTATCTTTAAAGCTTAAGTACAGAGTTTATCTTGAAAATTATTTATCTAATCCCTCTCCATAAGCGCCATAAAATCTCAAGGAAAGATAAATATAATGAGGCTTCAAAGATTACGCTTTAAAAAACATTTTGAAATTTGATAAATCGGTTGAATACAGAATTAATGTTTTTCGGATGTTTCAATGATTTGTTTTAAGGAGATAGCAAACAGACAATATTCTGCCTAAGTAGAAGCTAAGAAAATCTTTTCCGTCTGACTAATAGGAGAAAAAGTGCAATAAAGATAATTGGAAAGCATTTTTCTTTAAAATAATGACTTATCCTTGTAAAAACTTTCCACATTTTATAAATGAGTTATGAGTAGACAGTTATCTAAACAAAATAAGAATAAGAATAAGAAGATAATGCAGATATACTTACTCATATTATGATTATCTTTCTTTTGACGATCTCTTACTTCAGCCATTGATATCTCTTCAGGTTCTTGTTTAATAAGAATATTTTCGTCTGCAAGCAGATTGTCTATTTTTAATGCTTCGTCGAATGAGTTTGAATCCAAATTTAATATTTCATCAATGAAGTCCTTTGACTTTTTTGTTGCACAAAGTTATTGGAGATGAAAATATCGAATAAATAATAATTCAGTATTTCATTACACAATATAAATTTATAATTTTTTTAAAGTAAAAAACGATCGTGGTTTTTAATTTAGAAGTATGTTTTATTAAGAAATTACCTTATTTCGTCGGCGACGTATGTTCAAATTATAGACTGGCATGCTTATTTTATAATGCAATTGTGTTTGTCGATTTGTTCAATATATTTTATTATAAAAATATTCATTTAAAATTTAGGAACTGCATGAAGTGGAAAAATTTTTGGACATCAGTATTATTCTAAATTGTGAACTTCAGATTAAATCTGCTTCTTTTATCATAATTCTCGATTTAGAACTACCAACATTGTATTTGAAATAATATTTTGTCGCAATAATTTGGTTTTTAATAAATGTTTCCAAATTTACCACTAGACTGAATACCAATTAATGTCTTTTAATGTCTTTCAATGTTTCGATAACTTTCACTAAAACTTCTTAATTCACTTAATGCATTATTATGACGTTTTTTTCTTTTTATGAATATTCATTCATTTAATCTTGTGTGAACTAGACAACTAAAAGTCCTTAAAAAATGTCTTTTCCAAAACACGTTATTCCGACAAATATGCTTGAATATTTTTCGTAGACTAATCTCAGCTCCGTTTGCTTCTAAGGTTGTCAACATACTAAACTGTTGAATTGTAAAAAAATTTGACATATTATTATTTTTTTGATAATTATTTTAAACCGTAGTATTTTGTTGGAATACTGATTTTTATATATAATAGCAAGGAAATATTTTGTATACTTGTAGATTTTGTGCAAACACACATGTGAAGAAGAGTACGACGATTGTTAACATTTTCAACTGTGGTTGTATAGATAATAACTGACTACCTAATTCATGATGAAAACTTTATCTTTTTCCTCAGACTACATCTTCTAATATTATAAAGTTTCTGTGATTCCATATTCATACCGTTTTTAAGCAATAATAAATGAATCTATATTTGTTTAAGAATTGATTTTTTTATTTAAATTACTCATTAAGTAACTTGAATCTGAATACGTAAAATTTAAAAGTGAAATAATCAAAATTGATACAAATAATTCATTAAAAATTTTACTTGGAATTTTCAGTATTAAAAATTAACCTTGTACAACCGATATTATAATAAAATATCTATGTTTATGATTGGACGTTACTTATATTCAAACATACGCATATAAAGAACTTTTTTGTATATATTTTTCATTTAATTATAGATAAACTATAATCTACCTTGGATCACTGATCTATTAAATAATATCAAAGGATTTATATACAATTTGGTTGATATTTTATTTTAAATACTAAAAAACATTTTATTTTTCTTGTTTGTAAATAATATTCCAAGCACTTAACAGGTTCTTACTAATTGTTACCTTCCTAATAATTAAGTAGATTGCGCTTAAAACCTGCGCACTGTTTCTTATATTAATTCATATCTCTCTGTCATATCTCTCATAGCTTATAAGATATAGCAAAAGAAATTATCTCTCTTCTTTAGTCATAATTTATTTCTTATTTCTTCCTTCCACAGGGAATGGAACTTGAGTTTGTCAGCTTGTCGGGATGAGGCTCTTGCCACTGAACTATGATTTATCCAAAAAATAATGCTAAACTTACTTATTATCATGTATGGTAAAACATCAATCGACATTGATCAAAGGGAAACTCAATCATAGAATTCGATTTAATTTTTGAACATATTGTATGCTTTTACAAATTTTAATATCTACTCATTTTCATTTAATTTTTTTTAGTTAGATAATTGAAACCTTGAAAATATTTCAGACCCAAATCAACAGACCAATAAATGTGAAATATTCTTCATGTTAATTTCCAGAACTGTTTAGAATTTACGAAATCTAATTAGCACAATTAAAATATTGATAACAACAGAATGACAAGAAAATCGTAAATTCATTTAAATGAATACACGATCTAAGGATAGAAACTAAATGTCTAAGAGTTGTGTATTTAGATGAAATAATTTATATTTATTTAGATATTCAGACAGTTTTTGATATATAAGAAAGCCAACAAGTTGAAGCTGCGTGCGCATATTTCTACAAAGGTTTTGTTATTTATTTACTCAGATTTTTTATTTCATTTTGACAATATAATCATCATCAATAATCACCTAAAATTCTATTTTTTACATTAAAACTGTGCACGTTTTCAGTCACTTTTGATTTTTCTTTAAGGCTCTGCAAAATTCTCACACTAAACAAAAAAACCAATATTTACATTAATTCTCCTTGCTGAAAACTAAAGCTGTGAAATCGTTCATTCCGTGAATTACCAGAAATAAGAATAAAGTTTTTTAGAAAAACGAAATCTTTTCAAAGTAGCCCTGTAATAAATATTATTCACTTAATGAAATTATCTCCGTACGTATTTAAATCTTACTCACAATTCACGAGTAGAATAGAAAATAATAAAAAAGCTAAGCAAATATCATACGATGTTATTTAATACATATTTAATTTCGTAGTATAGATGATCCATCAACATTTCTATAAAAAAATCTCGTGTTTGTTACTCAAACGGAAAAGCAATTTATGAAAATCAACATCTGAAATAGAGGAAACTGAGCAGTTCCGGTTGCATTGGGAAACGACAGTAAGATAAAGTAATTTTAATAATATCTACTTAAATTTTAAATACACAACAACTACACAAGTCTCTTAACAATCTTTAACACTTTCGCGAATATGAAATGAGGTAATAATGAAAAAATCAGCTTGAACTGTTTTTAAAATTGTCACATGGAACAGTTGTACTGATCTTGAAACAAATTAATGTGATGATGAATAACAACAGTAATTCGCACCTTATTGATGCCGGAAATTTAAGAAGGTTTATAGAATTATGAACATCAAAACAGCAAAGTTATGGCCTTTTTCTGTTGTAACAGGAAATACAGAAAATTTGGATGTAAGTTGCATAGGTGGAACTATCAAGAGTCATAAGTCACCAATCATCTTTCATAAGATCGATTAATCTGATAATATTTTTTTTGCATTAATGGACTTTTTTCCTATTTCTTTTGATTTTTATAATTTTATCAATCATGCAGGTAATGTGTAAATGTGTAAATGAAACAGATGACACGTAAATAGATAAGTTTTTATCATTTTCACAGTGGTGATGTCAAAAGAAAATATATGTGTATATGAAGGCAGACGTGTATGTAGATAGGCAGAGGTAACAGAATTCTTTTTACTCAAGATGTATATGATTTATATAACAGATAGTGCTAATAACATACTGTAACACATTCTATTGCTACATTAAATTTTTTTTTAATAGATGTCATATATTTATTAGGTAGGTTTAAAGTATTCCACTTGACACTTTCAATTATAATGGTTAAATTTTGGTATGAGATTTATAACTGAAAACATTTTCGGATCAATTCGATTTATTCACCCAATTAGTTTTTAATCTTTTTGATTTTATTTCTGCTATTTTGCAGCCTATTTTTTATTTTCAATGCTCAGCTCTTTCTGCAACTATGCAATATTATTATAAGAAATAAAAAACTTCCCAATTAGAAACTGTTTTAAAATCTGAAATATATTTAGGTATCTAACAAACATCGTGATATTTTTTATCATGTCTGACGTCTATTCACGTGAGTTTCATTCATTTTGCTTCAATTCATTTTAATCTTTGAAAATTACTTGCGTGTTCTGTAATCGTTATCGTTGATTTTCTTCTGTCGACAAGAGAATGGGCAAATTTATAAAGAATTAGATAAAAGAAATTTATAATTTATTGCCCTCATTTAAATGGGCCATCAGTACATGTGAAGTTTAATTTACATAGAGTAGTTCTTTTAATGAAATCTGAAAAACTTTTCCAAACAAAACTTTGGATGTCAATCCCATATTCGTTACCACTTACGACATTAAAACCATTTTTAAGTGATTAATATTTTAACTTCAATGTTGTTATGTCATGTACAAAAAATCTGAAAACAAAAGTCAATATAAAAACAAATGTTTCTACTTACGGATATCTAATTTAATTTATTAATAGCCATCTTTCCAAAAAACATTTCCGAAATACTTTTGGAAATACAATGATAGATATTATTGAATAGGTGAATACATACATAAGTCTATTAAAAAACAATCAAATAAGATACCAAACAACACAGAATATGTATTAATGCGAATCATAATTCTAATAAGATTCAAAAAGGATGAAAATGAAGTTGTAATAAAATAAATCAAATAAAACTGTCTAATCATCATCTAGCATAGTCTTTAAGTTAATAGACATTTCAAATTTTTCTTTAATATTTATAAAAAAAAATTGAAAACAAAACTATTTACGACATTAAATTAAATAAAACGGGAATTCAGGATTGATTTTTATATGTCAGAATATGAATGGAGTCCTTAAAGTTTAAGCAAAATCTTGCTGTATTAAATTAATTTTTAAGATCTGTCGACAATTTTCAATCTAATAGCGACCACCATAACGTCCTCGACGGTTATTGTTGCGTCCTCCTCTACCACGGTTATTCACAAACTGCTTGTTTTGTTGTTGGTTTTGTTGTTGCTGTGGTTGTTGGTGCTGTTGTTGCATTTGTGGCTGCTGTTGCTGTGGCTGCGTTTGAGGCTGTGATTGCGGCTGCGTTTGTGGCTGCTGCGACTGCGTTTGTGGCTGCTGCGGCTGCGTTTGTGGCTGTGTCTGTTGCTGCTTATTCGGAACGAGAACTGTTTGATCAGAATTGATTGTTTGATCATTTGTCACAGTTGCATTTTGTGTTGCAATCTCTTCAGTTTTTGTTTCATCTTTTTTTTCTTCTTCTTCTTTATTATCATTTGATATGATGATTGGAGTTTCAGGAACTTTTTCAGTTTTTCCTAAAATATTTTCAATCATCTCAGTATCTTTAGACTCTTCTTCACCAGTTGCTTCGGTTGGATCATATAAGTCAGACTTATTCACAACTTCTTCGTTGGTTTCTAACTTAATTCTCTTCAATCGTTCAGTTTCCTCAGCTGCAGCTGCAGCTCGTTTCTGAGCAATTTTTGTTTCGTTTGCTTTTTCGTTTAGAAATTTAACAAAGAGACGATGATGGTTGTAGGTGCGTGAATGCACTTCAGCTGTCAACTCATTATCAAAATATTTATTGCATAAACGACATTCAAAACAAACCAGTTTTGATATTAAGCTGAATCCAACTTGACGCTTAAAATTATATTTTGGAATTTTGTTCTCAATTTCAGGACCAATTTCGTCGCCTTCGATGTAATCCAAGATTGGTTCAAACTCTTGATGATCATTTTGGTTTTCGTTGTCGTCAACATCATCTTCTTGTTTCACTTCGTTGTCAGCAGCGGAAACTTCAGTTTCCATTTTTTCAGTTTCTTGCACTGTTTTTGATTCGCCATCATCGGTCAATGCTTCGGTCTCAGTTTCTTGTGAAGTGACATCTTTAGATTTCTCTTTTTTAGGTTTTTCCTCGCGAAGTCCTCGCGTTTCATCAATTTCAGTCAATATATGCAAACGATTTTTGCGACTTTCCTCAGATTTATATGATGGTGGAGTTTTACTAGTCTTCATATGACCAGGTGAAAGCAAATGATCGTCAAATTCGGTTCTATTATGAAATTCTGTTGAACAGTCTTCACATTTTGGATGCAAAAATTTCTTCAGATCCAAATGACCTTCAGATTTCCGATGAGTCGATAAATGTCCGTAAAACTGCAAATCACACATTGCACAATATTCGCGAATTTGATTTGCAGCACGAATCGCTTTTCCCAATCGTTTCAAGCGATCAATTTCAATGGATTTCAATTGTTCAGCAATTTTAGCTTCTTGACGAAGCATGTTGGCTCGTAATCGATAGGATTCTTCAACGCCTTCCTTCATCATCTTTAAATAATTTATTAGAAAATTTTCAGTTATGTGAGAAAATTTGTTTTTGTTTATATGTACATAATATATTTGAAGTTGATTGAAGTAAGGGTTGTGTTTTCAAAAGCTTTTTTAAGGAACAGAAGAAGAACAAGGCCCGTGGAACTTCAATCAAGGAAGATATAAAAAAGTTACCTGATGAGTTCTCCCTTTCAAATGATTTTCAAATGATGTTGAATCCCACATATGTTTTGCGCACAAATGGCCTTTGAAAATAAACATTTAAATTAACAATCAAATCTTGAACATTTTCCTCGTACTTACAGTAAAACATATCGTTTGGAACATCAGAATACGGAGAATTCTTGCGCTTAGGTTCCTTTACTGGAATGGCTTCATCCTTAATTTCGTGGACATTTCTATGATGTATATTTTGAATTAAAATAAAGAATTTTATGGAGATAAAGTAAAGGCTTTCTTAATAAGCATAGCAAAAAAAGAAGTAATGATTTCAATAGTTAAACTATTAACTCTAGACGCAAGTAAGAGCGAAATTGTATTTCATTTCTAAGTTGTAAAGCAATTCTAAATTTAGAAAATATCGTTAGAAGATGAAGGAAATCGTTTGGTCCTCTTCATTAAGGCTATTTTCTTTCTTATTAATATTTTTTCGTTGTCACAAAATATTGAGGAAATTTAATAGAAAAAATTCTCGAAGAAGTTCCTCAAATTTTGTACAGCAAAGTTTTTGAAGAAATTGTTTAATTTTTAGCAGTTCTCTTCCAAAGAGAATGAATTAATCAGAAAGAAATTGAGTGATAAAAAATAAAAAAAGATACACAATACGCAATTACTTAGCGTTGTGTCGAGACTTAAGTATTTCTCATTATTTCGGAATGTTTATTCAAAGTAGAAAAATTTCCTTTCTTTTGAAATTTTGAGGAAAATTAAGGATTCGCTTACCTCGCATTATCATTTTTCTTATTTGTTGTTTGTTCTGTCACCGAATCGTTTTGCTTAGAATTATTAAAATTCTTTTGAGCGTTTGGTTTACGATTACCAACATTTGGCTTTCGAATAGCGCCTTTGACAACACGATTGTTATTTCGGCGGTTATTATTGGGCATTCTACCGCCATTTCCACGGTTCATCTTTTGATAACAACATGATGTTGTTACACAAGAACATTTTAAGTAGTCGTGGGTAAGCAGTTCATGTACAATATCGTGAACATGTTGGCGGAGCATGATGAATTAGCAGGTACATGTTTGAAATCCAGGTAAAAACATTGCATGTGTGGCGCGAAGAAACCATGAAATCATGTCCACATTGATATGGGAGCAGTTAGAACCAATTTATGATTCATGTGAAAGCCACACATATTTTATGTTTGAATTATTTTGGGATAATAAAATTATCAAACAATTTTTGTGGAAAAAATACATAGAAATGGAGAAAAAGAAGAGAGAAGAAATATTTGTTTGACTAAGATTAGATTTTTTTCTTATGAGAATCATAGCCATTGAGAGTTTATACATTTTTTGGAAACTGAGAAATAAAAAGAAACAAAACTCTAAAACATCAAAAATGTTTGCAAAATTCTAAATTCTTTCTTAAATATGGTAGAATCTTGGAAAATATTATGATGATTTTCAGGTGATTTTCTCATTTAAAATTTCTCATAAGTCAATGAATGTTTAATTTTTTTTTATATGACTATCGAGAACGGAATGTAAATACTTACACGGAAATCGTTATAAATCCTTGGACAATCGTTATAATTTCCTCGTGGTCCTGCCATATCCAAAAGAGAGGGTGGCACATTGTTTTGATTCTGGTTACGCAATAAATTATTTAAGAGATTGTTAGCCAAGGCCAGAGCATCATTTCCACGGCCCATGTTGTTATTCCCCATGCTAGGTCCATCCCAAGGATTGACGTTCCCACGACTGATTGTTCCTCCATAGTTGTTATTATTGTTAAAGTTCATGCCCTGATTATTACGGCGATTGTTGTTATTGTTATTACGGAAAGCCATTTTCAGATTAAACCTTTCTTTTTCTAAAATGAAAAAAAAAGAAGAATATAACATATAACATAAATATAACTTAGAAAGAATTTAAAATTATAATAATCTTTAAGTTATAAATTTATTTAAGTAAATTCTATTTACAAGATATGTGAAATTAACATTTCTTTTTAAGAGTTTTTGACCGAAAATAATGAGAAAGAAAAAGCATAAATCGGAAAGTCTGGAAGGTGAATCACCCTGAGTCTAAATTTTGAACAAACTGTACTCTCAATGAAAAATCTTAATTTTTTCTTTCCATCAACTTTTATATACAAAATTATCATTGAAATGTATGTTTAATCACTAACATAATTATTTGCTTGAAGAAAATTACTAACAGAGTTAATAGTTGTTAAACTATTTCCTATCTAAATGATGCTAAAAACATTTATATTCAAAGACATATTTTGGATATAAATAATTTTAATACTAACAATCATAATAATATTTAAGGAATATTTAAGCAAATTTATTAAGATCTTACCCTTTGAATTTCTTTTAATAAAACGAGATTTATGTATACGAAACAAAATAATTGAATTCACAGAAGATGTGACGATGAACGACTCAGAGAACGATTTATGCAGTCGATTCTAAACAGTTTCAGAAATGTAAACCATGTTTCATTTTTTTTTAAAAATACCTACCTACATACTTCAAATAAATACCGAATATTTGTAACCAAAAATAGGTAGATATCTAAAATGTTATCTATTTTAACACTAGGTAGTGGTGCATTTCTAGGTAGTGCCCTAGAAATATATTTGGATTGAATGCATTTGTACTAACCAGGGGTAGGGACTGGTTGAAAGTTTCAGCGGTTCATAATTTTTTGATTCTGGAAGCCGGTTGACTTTTGCGACCACAGTTTTTTTGTAAAAAAGCTTTTAAAGTTTGTGAAACATACACCTGACTACCATCGACATTAACCAAGAAGCTCATAAAATTTAAAATACCTACTTTCAATCGTATCGATGCGACGACATAAATATGATTTAGAGATTTTTTTTTCTGTATTTATTAGGTATTATTTTTTATAATGATACAATAACTCATGAGGGATTATCATTAATAGTTTTCATATAAATAGAGTTTAAAATTTATTTACTAAGGGTTGTTAATTATACTAGTTTTAGAAGAATTTGCAAATAAGGCAAGCAGTTTGAGCGTGCGATCTAGTTAAAGTGCAAATATAAATACAATTTTTATTAAGCAAACTATTAAAAATCATAAATTATGATTGGTCAGCTAATTTTTCAATAATATTTTTTTCCTAACTTGCTCTCCTGAAATTATTGCCTTATTCATACTTTGTAACGATAAATTTAATTTCCTTTATATTCCTCGAAGCCCAACATAAAAGAAATTTAATTTAAAGTTCAAAGTGCAAATCTGGCAATAATTTTGAGATTTTTATTTAGGAATTCAAAAGATTTTTTACACATTTTTATTGAAACTTGCAACTGCTTTCAATTTTTTCCTGTTACGTGGTGAGTTCCATTTTGATGAACTTTTAGAAAGTAAGGCGTTTATTGGCCGTAATTCCTTAACTGAAACGCCCTCATCGATATCATCTGACTCAGTTTTGATTTCCATTTTCTTAAAATAATAAAATCAAATTTTGGTTACAAATGTTTCCCTTAGGGAGCGATCTAACAGAAGTAATTTATCACTTTATGAAATAATCTCATGAGAAAAGTAAATTAGAAGATTTCTACCTGAACTATAAGTCTGAGAAGTTGATGTTGCTGTTCAATCATTTTTGTCATTTCTTTCAACTTTCGTTTCTGCTTTTCCATTTCATATGAAATGTAATCTTCATTAGTATCAAGCATAATGTCTAGATTTGCTAGAATACAAATAAATTTCCATTTAAATTTAATAAATATTAAATATATTTATGTTTCGAACCATTTCCTGAGTTGGTGAATGGATTAGCCAACCATTTTCGACAGATTGAATCGAAGAAACCTAATTTACATTTATCTTCATTCGGATACTCAATAAGTTCCATTTTATCAATTTTCTCAAGCCATATATGAGGTAACTTTCTTTCCAATTCAGTATGTAACACAACCTGCATTGCTAAGCGCTTAAGTTGTGCATTTCGTCTAACTGATTCAATATCTCCAACTGCCAAACCAATCAATAAATTCATCAAAAGAATTGGCATCAGAATCATAAAGAGACCTTTGAATAAATGTTTGAATAGACAATATTAATATTATTTTATGTATATTTTGTCTCAATTACGGTAGACTTACATAAAATGATAAATGAAGCATAAGGATAAGGTAAATTGTTGGCATGATATGGCTGAATAAAAGTTCCAATGAAATCCATTTCACCCAACATCATTGAAAATGTTCTCATTAACGACATTGGAATTGATGTAAATGATAAATGATTTGGTTGAGGATTTGTGACATTCGATAGTAATATGAAGAAACTAAGACCAAATGCTATGAAAAGGATGCTAAATACTGCCAGAACTTTTATCAGAGTTTGGAGAATCTCCAGAAACATCACTACATAAATTCCTAGAGAAGAAATATTGAATTTTATTACAAAAAACTATCAGTCTTTGAAAATTGCTGACATAGCTCTTACCAATTTGATCAAATCTTTGAAGGTATAGCAATAAATTGAACCAAGACAGAAAAACTGTCAGTGAAGCTGAAGAGAATAATGCATCGCACTTGTATCCATTCATGAAAATTGGTGAAACCATAATCGTTGCAGCAATATATAGTAACCAAGATACAAAATTTATTGGTTCGAATAAGTAATGAAAACGTTGTTGATATATTTGAATGATTTCTCTCAATGACATTAGCAAAATGTAAATCATGATAGCAATTCCAGATATCGTCATTATCGGAGTTATTTTTATGTTTCTTTCAAGTTCTCCATTAAAATTGTTATCAAATGGCAAAGACAAATTTAAATTTTTTTGTGGATCTGAATGAAATTTTTCCTATAGAATTAAAATATACAAAAAAATAATTGCTCGATTATGAAATATATAAAGAAAGTACAAATACTTACCTGAATCATTTTATGGTCGCTATTCATCAATTGAGACGAATAAATTGTAACAAAAATAAGAAAGACGCTATAAATTAGCAAATTTGCTAAATGAAAATATTTTCCATATGAGTTCCACTTCATTTGTAAGTATTTTTGACTCAATGGATGCGACAATAGTTCAACTCTTCCATGTGTTACCATCATCTAAAATAATAAAACAAATTCAAAATTTATTTCCTAGAAATAAAATGTGGAATTTATTGTTACATAATCTACACATCTTAGAAAATCATTAAAAGAAAATACAAGTAAGTGCAAATACATCCCATCATACATTTGTTTTAACAGTGCATGACAAATTAATTTTTGTTAGATTTATAATAAAATGTAAATTCTTAAAATTCAGAACTTAAATTGAATAGTGCTCTTGTTCATTGTTAAAATAAAAAACAACATGTGACAACATGTGATCTAACACCAATGTTATCCTCATACCAATAAAAACATAAATACAGTAAAAGCTCGAGGGAGGCAAATCAAATACCACTGTTGCGGGTGCATTAATTAATGTGTTCAGAGCATAGAAATGACAAAATAATTCAGTAAAGTTCAATGATGAGTTAAATATTCTTAATAACCTCACCAAATCTTAAAATAAAGAGTTACCGTTGATCACGTCAATATTAAGTTGTCAAACTTTTAAATTTAATCAGTAATTAGTTGCAAGCTTTGACTGCATTCATTTTAAATAAATGACAAAATAAAAAGCGCTTTACTGTGATTAGAATTGAAGCATCCTCATGCTAAAACAACATTTCTGAACGATGACCACATTCGCCTTTGCTAATAAATAAAAAATAAAAAGTGCATGTCTAACGGATACATTTTTGGCTATCGATGTCAGCAAACACTTCTACTCAATTTTTCAACTACATTAATTGAACTCACATTAACGACTTGTAGTGGCGGTGCTCGCCACTTTGGATCGTTCAGTTTTTCACGAATAAGTTTAATTTTTTCTTCGGATTTTTCATACAATCGGAAGCAATATTTAATCTACGAATTAAGTACAAAAAATTAAAATATCTCTAAGTACATTCAAGAATATCAATTCTCATTAATAAACAGATCCAAAGAGATAACAGATACAAAGAGAAAACCATGCATCATAGAAAAGGAATTATGTTTATGCTAAAAGTTTCACTTATGGTCTCTTACGTTAAGAGCATGTAATGGGATTGGTTCAGAAATAACAAGTGCGTCTCCAGTTTTTTTATCCATTTGTTCATATTTTTGGGGACAAAACAGGCAAGAAAAGGAATATTTTATCTAAACGAATTAGGAATTTATTGATAGAATTCAACAACTCAAGGTCACGAATTAGTTAAATTATTTTTTCATTGTATGATACTTACATAAAAGCTTTTAGAATCTTTCTTACAATTAGCTTTTGTAATACATTTATCCTGAACAGCTCCAAAAACTGACGGCATTGATGCTATAAGTGCAAGAGTTACGCATGGGTGTTTATCTGATCGTAAGCACATAACTTCTTCAGCTCTATCTTCGTGAGTAACCATTGAAAGAGCTGCTTCTGGGTATTTGTAATAAATTGCATAGTCAATCGCTGACATATCCATGTTGTTGTATAAAAGTTTACAACCGAGTGTTAACAGCATTGCTATCGCATTTGGTCGATTTTCCATTGCCGCTAAATGAAGTGGTGTGTTCTAGATGGTGTTAAGAAAAAGAGTTATTTAAAACGGAACACTAATACAAAAAAAGATAATTTTGTACCCCGTCCTTATCAACTTGATCAATCAAATGTGAATGCACTAAATGAAGAAGTTCAAGAGTTTGTGTGTAATTTCCACGCGCCGCTAAATGTAATGGATTTCTACCACTAATTAATAAAACAAATGCAAAATTAGTCATTGAAGATTATCAATATTAACTATATTTACTTATGATCGCGGTGCAATAATGCTCCACGGTTCAAAAGCAGTTGAACAACTCTTGTGTGACCATGTTGTGAAGCAATGTGGAGTGGTGTAAGTCCTTCACCATCACATTCGTTTATAATGAATGTTCCTTTATCTGAATCCAATAATTGTTTAACTGTGTTATATCGACCATAACGTGCTGCAAAATGCAAAGGAGACTCGTTATTATTATTTTTCAAATTGATACAAGCTCCTAAGCGAATCAAATTCATGAGGGATCCTAAAGACCCTTCTCGTGATGCGTAATGTAATGGCGAACATCCGATGTTATCTTTCTCATTTAGAAAATCACTCCAGCCGCAATTAGACGTTGCACAAATTTCTTTAGCAAATTCTTCGCATCGCCCACCGTTTATGATAATTAAATGCAACAGATTCCTTTGTGTAACATCTTTTAATTGGACATTTGCTCCTAATTTGATTAGAACATGAACAGTACGCCAACAACTACGTGAAGCTGCAAGTAAAATTGGAGAGCGTCGCTCTTTGTCTGTAAATAGTCAAATAATGAAAAAAAATTGAAATTAAATATTTTTATTTTGTACCCAAAGCATTTATATCTCCTCCCTCGAGAACTAAAAACTCAACGAGCTCTGCGTGGTCAAACATTGAAGCACAATGTAAAGGCGTCATTTTTTGGATATCAGTGCATAATAAACTTATCTTTTTTTCCACAGGTTGCATCTTGAACATCATTTTCACAATGTCTATTGCCCCTTGAGCACATGCAAGATGTACTGGTGTTGACAAATCATGTTGTTGAGTCGAAATTTTTGCCCCTGATTTCAAACATAGTTCGACGGCTCTAATGTCACCACCATGAACAGCAGAGTGAAGAGGGACATTTCCTTCAGAGTCATAAAAAGAAATCATTTCTTCTCTTGAGCATCCACGAGATTCTCCCCACTATTTCAAAATAAATAAGTAATAAATTTTATGCTTATTATAAAATCATAAATTTGCACAATATCATGTGAAGAAGCTGCGGAATAAATCAATTAAAAAAACTTTATTTCATAATGGGTTTTTTACCACGAGGGATTTTTTCGAGAAATGTACTCGACGAATTTTTTATTAATTCATTTATTTTTATTTTTGGAAAAGTCTCACAGATATATGAAAATTTGAAAAATTGAAAAGTAATTTTTTCTTGGCGACTGGAATCGAACCAGCAATCTCTACTTAACCGGACTAGTGCATTTACCAATTATGCTACGCCACTACTTGTCAATCATCTGACAAATCTTCATATATTTATTTCATAAGTTCATTTTCTGTGCAATTTTAAATGCCAGCTGTGTTATTATGGAGCAACTTTCATTAAACTTTTATGCTTTTTATAATGTTATCGACTTAAAACTGACTCGGTAACTTCTTTGTCCGATTCTGTTCTTATGAATGAAATTGAAATTATTTTAAAATGTGTCATGCTTACTTGTAAAAAAACTTCCATGGTTTTTGAACTAGCATTCTTAGCTGCCTCATGAATCGGATAATATCCTATTAAATATTTTATATGTTTTAAAATTAATGAAAGTTTTATAGAAAATTATGAATAAGCATTACCAAGATTACAACTAGCCCTTGGTGAGGCATCGAATTCTGTTATCTATTGAAATTAAAAATGGTTGTAAGGATTGAATATCAGAGAAATAAATTTTTTATTACTAGAATTCGAGCACACTCTTCGTGATCGTATATTGCGGCTAAATGAAGAGCAGTTCTGCCATGTTCACCACCTTGTTGTATATCTATAATTTCTCGATATTTTCCCATTAATTTTAATGCTGCTACTTTATTTAACTCGGTAGCAAGATGGATCGGTGCAAGATTTTTTTCATTCAGTATATTGGTCTCAACAGGGCTAATTAAACAAAAATATTTAATATTTAAAATATCTCAAATTATTCTGTTTTCCATACATTTCCAAAAGAAACTTTATGGCATCAAACGAATCATTTTCCACAGCTGTATGAATTGGAGTATTTCCAATTGTGTCTTGACAGTTCAGATCTAATATAATAATATTATAACAACATTATAATTTTATAAACATATGCTTAAGTACCTCCGTTTTGATCAAAAATATATTCTAATATATTAACTTTGTTTCTTGCTGCTGCCTGATGTCCAACAGTTCTTCCTTTTCCATCTTTTACACTTAAGCGACTGTTGTCAAATTGATACAAACGAATAAATTCATCTAAATTTCCTGCTTCCGCTGCCTATTAAGTAATCACTTATTTAACAATTAAGTTATTTAATTAACGACTAAGTAGGTAGTTATTTTTAAACAGAGGGATTGGCCATAACAAGGACTCAATAAAATGAATTTTAATGCTTAACGTGAAAGCTCGCATATCTGTCGACAAATCAGTTAATATATATGCTTGTTCATGATTTTGAATTAATTAAATATTTATTGTTTAATGTTAATTTAAAATTTTCATTCAATTGAATTCTGTAATTGGCCTGGCTGATGAAGTAGGAACTTAAAAAATTATTAAAAATATTAAGGAACTTAAAACAAATTTTCGACATATTAATAAACTTTTTTCTTATTAAAATAATATTTTAGCTATCTTCAATGATGTTGAATTTTCGTTTATGGTAGGATACTCGACAGTTTCTGACGAAAGAAAAATCTGTATCTATAATGAAACTTTTCTCAAATGAAGTTTAATGAAAAAAAATTGAGAAAGACTACAAAAACATGGAAAGTTTTCCCTGCACCACACCCTATTCATCATTTGATGATTACGGGAAAACTTTCTTTTTTATACATCTATATTTGTATTCTTTACAATTTGTAGAACTTTTATTTAGTGGCTCATACATTATGAGTCTCCTGTTGCTTAATGGAATAGTTTCTGCATATATTATGCATGCTATTAATTTTAGTTAAATGAATGAATTTTTAAATACTTACCCTGATGATGCGAAAAGGTGAATCAACCAAAAGACAAACGTCAGCACTTTTTTCAACAAGGATTGCTTCTAATTCATTTGAATTAGATGATGACTTTGTTTTCATGTTCATACACTCGTCTGGTGATTGAATTAAATTGTTCCGACTAAATCGTGAAGACAACCAACTCTACATGAAAAATGTTAGATATAAATTTACAGATAGAAATAGATATATCATGTAGCATTAATTGAGGATTATTAATATATTAATTAGAGATAAGATAAGAAAAAGAAAGGTATTAAAACATTGATATTGAAACGTGCATTACATTTAACCTTTCCGTGTTTTATTCAATGGAAGCAATAAAAATAATTACAAAAGAAATTGAAGTCCCCCACTTAAGTTTATCTTAATAAGATATGACGAATATTTAATTATTTTTTTCACAAAAACAAAACAAACCTTAATAGTATGTTGTTTGATAGGTTTACTTATATTTTTTAAACTGTTCCTTCTTTTTAAATCCAGCGAAAGATCATCTCCAAAATGATTTATCGTTGAATTTTGAAGGAGATAAAGTGATCTAGGCATATTTTTCAATTTTTTATCCTGCCTCGTAAAGTTATGTTCTGAAACAAATTAGGAAACACTCTTAATTAAGTTCAAAAACACATTTAAATTAAATTAAATCTGATTTTTGTTCCTATAAAATATTTAAGAAGATAATTCGCATTAGGCTTATGGTAAACTTTCGGTGCTTACTCTATCGAGTTCGGATACTAAATGACTAACCAGATATATTCAAAATATTTCTTTTCGTGATGAAATGTTTCCTTTGCACACAATAAAAATATATCGCTTTTATCACAACAAAATAAACACATTAACTAATCAAATGGGTTTTCATGGTGGAAAAGAGTGACAAATGTAGAGAAAGAAGAGTTTGAATGTCATATAGTTCAACAACATATTGTAGGGCTTCAATTTTTCCGGAATTTAATCAATTAGATAAATAAGAAACCAACAATTTTTAAATGTCATTCATTACGTAGAACATCATTCTCGAAGTGTTAAATGTTTTTCAATGTGATCTTGTTATTTTTAACATTAAATAGAAATGATATAATTAAAAACATATAACGAGTAAAGAACGCGAAAACACTTTTATACTTTTTACTTCACAATTTAACTTGCCTAAATATCTATTTCGACAGCCAAGCTGTCATCATCAGAAGATTTCGTTCAATACTCTTTTTTTAAAAAGAAATTAAAATTAGAAATGATATATGTATGTACATAATTCAACCTTTTAATGTGTTTCTTTGTATAAACACATGCGTATGGGAGAAATCACAATGTAATTTAAGATTGTGATAAATTCTGGAAAATCACTTGGTGAAACCATTGTGAAGCTGGAAGCTCTGTGCATACAACATTGTTCGTATTTATTCAGTGAACTTGAATCATTTAAAATTTAAAATTTTTATATTTTTAGGAAGAAATTGGTTAATGTTTTTCACAAATGAAAATGCTTCCTTCTTATGTGGTTGTTGACTTAAATTAGTGATTACTGTTCAAGGTTCTGTGATACCTTCACTGTATACTTCACTTTGAAGTTAATTTAGTAATTATCCTGAAATGTATTTCAAAAGAGTTGAAATCCTAAAGCTTTTTTATTCATGAGAATGAGTTAAATAAAAATTTGGAAAATATGACTTTCATAAAATAATATTTAGGGTGAAACTTATTTCTGTTTTCAAACTAAGAAGTTTGTCAACAACTAGGAATTTAATAGGCATTTATTGATACAAACAATTAAATATTATTTATTACTTGAACGGTGATATGATTACAACTAACAAATACAGAAGGCCAAAAAGGCTGCAATTAATTTTGTCAAAATGAGACCACCGCACACTCCAATAATCAAATACTTATTAGTTTCGGAATACGCCAAAATTTCATCGAAACATCCCTGATAAAAAAAGAAAATGAATTAAAAGAATATAAGTATAGAGAAAAATTAGAAACATTACTTTCATATAAAAGCTGTTGCTTTCCGATGGCTCATAAGGACAGTTAAGATCTTGCGGCTTGATTAAAACTTTATCAGAAAGAATACAACATGCTTCTGGTACAACTCTTGAAACTTTGTTGGTCATCCAATATTGCGACTTATCAAAATCGTTGTAACTATTAACACCACAACATCCCATCTGCGCCATTAGTTGGTTCCACATTAGAGTAACAGCATCGTTTTCTTTTGCACTTGATTTGTATTCAGGGATTGTATTGGTGAGAAAATTTTGAATTTCATCTCTTGCCTAAATGTATTGATAAACTTGATTATAAAATAAATTTAATAAACTTCTTTTATCTTACAACTTCCTTGTATAGTAAAGCCAAACTGAATATGATAATCTCGAGCACCAAAAGCACTATAATCAGAACGCCGTACTGTCAAAATAATATATTAGATATATGTATTAACATAATTTTCGATTTTATAGATTCTGCTATTAGTAGCTATTTTCATAATACTTAGAGAAAAGTAATGTAAAAAGCTGATATTTTAAGACTTACCAAAGATAATAAACATTGTGATTCTCTCATTGCTCCACAATAGCCAAGAAACCCTAAAACGAACATTAAGCCACCAATACCAATGAAAATGTACACACTCTGTTCAATAAGTTGAGGCTCCGTGAATCGCTAAAAATACATAAAGATTTTTTAAATTTAAGTTTTAATATTTCTAAATTTAATTTTAAGTTTAATTTGCATTTCAGTATTTTCAATTGACTAAAGAATAAAGATCCTAGAATATTCAACTAACAAATTTGCTTCCTACTTAAAAGGAAACGTTGAAGCATTATAGATTTTCCCTTATAAATCGTCATTTTTTAACAGCATTTTTTCGCTTCTCATAGCAGGATTTTTGAAACATTTTAGTAAAAAAATTGCACCGAAATTCTTTAGTTTTTAAGAAGTACAAATAGGTGGAATAAACATCGTGTTCAATTCATTCAGTTTTGTTTTAGTTATAGAAAATCTCTCGTTTTTCTAAATTACGTTTCTAAATAACACGGAACCTACATAACGTGGAATTCAATTCATATTTACTCAATTATTTCCTTTTTTTTTCAGGTTCAGTTTATCATCCATGTTATTGAAATAAAAGGGGATTCAACCCATAAATAATAAATTAAATCATTAAACCATGGAGTGAAATAGAAGTTATTGAACTCTACAATCGTGATAAAGCATATAAACACATTTGTAAAAATGTAACACATAAAATGTAACAATGCATTATTATGGATTTGCTTAGAAAACAAAATTTATTTTAAAGCTTTTCTTATATTTATCAACTAAAACCAAATGCAGAATATGTGGGTCAACTGAAATAATAATTGGAAGCGACTTAAATTTAGAAGGAGGTGTTAAAAGCTTTGACAAGAAAGTTTCACTCACCGTAACGTTTTCTTCATCGACACTTCTTAAAAGTGTAACAAGAGATTTTTTGTCAAACAGCATCCATAATCCTAATGCTAAAGTGATTGATCCAAAAAGCTATAAACACGTTTAAGTATTATTTTACAACAGAACCATATTTGCAAATTTTCTTTTATTTATTTATACTTACGAAGAAAAAGAAATTGAAGAAGCAAAGTGTATATTTTGCAAAATTCGATCCAATATCCTTAGCCATTTGAGCGTATGTAAATTTTTATACAGTTTATTCAATGTTTTTGTCTGTTCTAACCAAGTGATTTTTTGTATGTACACGAAATAAACATAACAAATATTTTCACTTTCGAATGATGACAAGATTATTGAGAACCTCTGAGAGAATAAAGCAAATAAAACACAAAAACAGAATCCAATTAAAAATACGTCTATTAACATTGTTTTCTATGTCTACAAATTCACATTTTTTCATATTTATGTATGGTGAAGTAAGGATCAAAGTGCTTATATCTACAACGAAAATAGAATTAAAAACATGTTATCTAAATTCCAAAATCAATTTACAAAGGCTTCGCATATATCGAATGATAAATCTTTCAATGACTTTATTATTCTGTGAGATATCTAAATAAAAATATAAAATTGACTGGGCAGTAAAAGTAGAGCCAAAGTAAAATTATGTCAAAGTTATGATGGGATAATTGTTCCTTTCGAGGATGACAAAACAGTGATCGTCAAATTGGGCAAAAAGGAGTTGCAATTTTTCAAGTTTTATTAGTCCTACCAAGTAGATTTGAGGTAAACTTGCTAATAAATAGGCCCGTACAACTTTTTATGTATGTATGTACGATTTTAACTTTTAACATTCATTTTATTAAAACATCACTTAATATGACACAGAAAAATTTAGACCATAAAGCATAGTTCAAATGTAAATATTATTTCATTAATTAATGTTTCTTGTTCTCCAAACAGAGGTTCTGCTACTTCCCTCACTATTATTGCAACATTCATTGTAAAATTATTATAATTTTTGCTATTGCAGAATCTCTGTTCAGAATAAATTTCGACTTGTTGCACAAAAGTTCACAAAAATATTTAGGTAACACAATCGTAACACAAAACCAAATGTTCAATAGATTGCTATTTGTTTCTCAAAAAAATATATAAAAAACTTACTCTTTAAGAGTTCATATGACATTAAATAAAGTTTTTATGTATGGTGCAAATTTCTCTACGTAATATGCTTAGCATAAATTAAAAAATATAGAAATTTAAAAACCTCTTTGTTTTTTTTATTTATATTTTCACGAACACATTCAACTTTCAGTTCCAAAACATGACATTGGATCACTTTTCAATTTTAATTCTATTAATATCAATAAATATTCTTCGTATAAGATCAGCTGAGTATATAAATTTTAATTCATAAAAAAAATAGCTAAATTCGAAAGTACAATACACTACAACGCCTGAACTAACAATAATAAAACAACTGGTTTATTATTGCTTCCCAAATTATTTCAATGTTTATGTTAACATCAACATCGACGTTCAATGTTTTCAATCAAGGGGAAGTTCATAAAATAGTAGCTAAATAATGTTGATCAGTATAACTGCATAACATTGCTAACATATATATTATTTGCTACCTATCGTATATTTGTGGTATTTTCCGAAATCTAACTCTAACTGATCGAAATCTAACTGATTGTCTAGTTCGCACTTTGAATTTACTTTCTTTCATCATCATCATCATCATTTTCATCGGGGAAACAATTAACATTTATAAAGTTTTCCTTACGTTTTCAATGCTGGAACATTAATAAAACCATTCAAATGTTTTTAAATTTTTATGCAGGATACAAGATATGAAATGATGATCGTCAACTAGGTAGGTATTTAAATTAATGAAAAAATTCTGAAAAACGAACACTTTTTTATAGTGACATCGTTAAATATCCTATTTCACATCAAAAATCCAATAAATGTTTTGTTGTCGTTCTTCTTCAAAATTTAAGTATTTAGTAGCCATTGATTTTAGTATAAGTTATAAAATTTAAAACGTATCTGAAAAGATCGAAAAATATATATTTATAAGGCTTGTCTGTGGAACGATCGAATAACATGGAATCCTGCTTTTCTAAAAATTTCAATACTTTTTTGATATGTATTACAGTTATTAAAGCATATAATCTGCGCATTTCAAATCCAGATACTTATGTGATAATTAAATTTAACAACGAAACGAGACGAACAAGAGTTGTTAAGAGTTCTCAGTGTCCATTTTTCAACGAAGTAAAATAAATGCGTATCTAATTAGACATTTCCTAGTTCTTATCTATTAATAAATATCTTTTTTCAATAATAAAATTCATAATTTTTTAATCCACAGTATTTTGTTTTTGAGACCTTCACTAATTTAGAGGAGTTATTGAAGAAGTCTGTTAGTTTTGAAGTTATGAAGTCTCGGCGCTTTATGAAAACTCAAAATTTACTTATTGGGGAAATGATAATTAATCTAGCGACTGTGTGGAAAAATAAATGTAGATATTTGAATTATTTATATTTTAAAGAAAATTTGTGGTTGTTATAACATTCTTCAATCCTCCCATAATTGCAGCTCATTCCTTCATTAAGAAGTGGGGATTTCTTGAATCTGCAAAATTTGTCACTGATGATAACCTTTCATATGCCGGATATTTACAAGTTGATTTGTCAATTATTGCAGCCGATAGAGCTATAGAGCACCCGTCACGATTAATCAATGCATCAAATAATGAGTAAACGAGTTTCTAAAACCTTAAATACGTATATAATATTACTATCTAAAAATCATTTTCAGTCTAGATGTGCTTTATCCGAGCAATGATCAAAAACTTCAAAGATTGAATTATATTGTGAAAATTTTCAAGGGATTTTTTTTGATGAAACAAGAATGCGTCATACAAGTTTCATTTAAAAATGTGAAGGTAAAGATTCTGATTATTTTACAAAAAAATAATTATCATCACTTTAACCACATCATATTATTTTCTAGCTTCGGACTAGACGACAAAACACGAGTAAGAATTTTATATGGAATGAACAATTAGTATTTCCAGGTGCATCGCCGTCTTTTTACAACGTGATGCTATTTGAATTATTAGTGTTTGAATACTATCATTGGAAATTATTAGGCACTGTTGAATTAAACTTTGACAAGCTAAGGTGGAATGTTGACGGTGAACGTATGTAAATTTCAAAAGGACCTTTTAATGAAGTTATAAATTTTTAACATTTATCTAATGACAGTGACTTTGCCGTCATTTGGTCCTTCTCATATCTGTTTTTATGACAAGTCACAACAATTCTTTCATGGAAAACTTTTGATTTCAATTGCGACTGATAAATTTCCCGTCAAACCTACTCAAACTATTCCTCTTATAAATGAATCAGAATTTTGGGACGAAGAAAGTTTCGAAATGAGGACTATAATCGTCAGAGCAGATCTATTAAATCATTTGGGATCACACTTTGAAATCAGTTTAAGATGTGAACATCAGACCTCAAATACAATAGATTTGAATGTTAAAACTTACGATATTGACACAAAATTGAAATTTGTAGATTTTGCAACGAATTCTCGACCAATCATGACGCTTAGTATTAAACTTCCAAACAGTTTCAAAAAATATCACTTGAGATTTGGGATAAAGAAACTTGTCAGACAGATGGTAAGCGATTACATGTGACTAACAGCCGTATTCAAAGAAAAAGATTCAATTGAATACATATCTTTATTAAAAAAGGTTTTAACTAAGTTTAAATTTAACACAAATTAAATCCAAATTGAAAGTCAATTCGAACTAACTTTTTTGTATTAACTTAAAAAATTTAGCTCTTCCGAAAAACATATTTTTAATTGAAAATTTGCTACAATCTTCCTTTATAAATACGGCTGGGGGAAACCACCTAAAACTTAATATAATTTATTTATGTTTAAGGCAAGAAATATGGAATACTTCGAGAATTTCCAAATACAATATCCAAATGAAATAAATTACCAGTCCTACATCATGCGTTCGCTCTTTGAGGATTTCAATGCAGCAATAAGAAAACTGAAGTCCAAATTGTTTTACTCTACTTTAAAATCTATCACAGAATGGGATGAGAAATATTTGAAATTTCTTGACAATAATTTGAATTCCGTTTTCCTAGTTTCAAAGGATAAACTCACTAATTTTAATTTCGATGAAGCTGTTCAAAATTACAAACATTTCCAAGAAGTCATTTCACGATTGGTTAACAATGTAATTTGATGAATCATAATTTAAAAATCGTTTTCATTGCTTTCTAATTCATCCAGATTCAAGGATCATTTCCCAAAGTTTTTCTGGATGTGACTTATGAATCTAAAATTCTCGCAATTCATGAATTCGCCATAGAAGAATATTGTCATTTTTCAGATTTTGATGATCATGGGGAAAAAAGTAAAAGAATTGTGCCATGTGTATTAAAACCGATTACTTGCAATCATGCGTGTGAATACTGCGGATGTTTATTTGGGATGTTTGAATTCCTGACATGGTTTGGAAATAATAAAACTGCAATGATGCCGAATAATACTGTCCTGTTAGACGAAAATAAAATAAAATTCTGCAAGGAGCATTTTTATAATTGTGAAATAAGCATACATCAGGGAGCAATTCCACCATACCATCACCAAAAAAATATGAGTTCTTTGAAATTGGTTCTTTTTTCAAACGGGACAACAAAGATGTCAAAGGTAAAATTTAATTAATGAGTTTGGAAATCGAAACTTACTTTAATTTTTTTGAAGCATGTAACTTACTCTTTGACACCACTTTGGAACGAAGTTATAAATTTTGAAAACATGCAGCGTTTTGATGTTGGTGACTCGCAACATCCTGAAATCTTTCAAATGTTTTTATTTCTTGTAGATGAAAATAATAAAAAAGTGAAGTATCTTGAAGTTAAAAAGAAAATCGAAATTATTCTTACAACTATCATCTTCCACAGAAGACCATAATAGGAACAGGAAGTCTAACAATTTATAAGGATTCATGTAAACCAAATCAAATTCAACTAAACGATACTGTTGCTAAGAAAAATATTGGCATTGAACATGTACAAGATTTCCGATCGATACCTCAATTGAAATGGATTAAAATTTTCAAAGATGGTGAAAGACTTGCAGATGTTCTTGTTTCAGCTGAGTATACATCTTTCCAATCAGCTCTTATCATGAAACAAATTATCAATAACGACACAAATATAAATCAAATTAATATGAAAATGGAAAAATATAAAATCAAAATTGATTTCATTGGAATTCGCAATAATACGAAAAAGTCGCGATGTCAACAAATAGGTAACAAAAGAATTGAATTTATTTTTGGAACTAACAAACTATCGAGTGGATATTCAATTGAAACCTGCGGTCAAAGCGTCAGCTTTACGAAATCAAAAGTATTAGCCTATTGGATTTTACCAGCCATTATTGAATTTTGGCCTCCAATAGTCATAAACTACTTAGAAATGTCTTCAAAATCCTCGAAAATTATAGGAACAGCACTGATTAAGGACTCACGTATATTTTATCATGAGAAGGAGCCAAAGATAGTTCAGCAATTTGTAATCAATCGGGAAGAAACAACTGAGAGACTTCAAGATAAAAAGCCTAATAGTCAACAAAACGAAGTTTTGCCACTTATTACAAGCATCAAGGTATCAAAATATAAATTCAATCTTTATGAGTATTTATTGCAGCTCAAGAGAAAAACATTTAAAAGGTCATTGGTAAATTCCGACCATGTTCCGACACATCGTATGACACTTGAAAACGAATGTACATGGTGGACAAAGTTTTATAATTCTCATCGTACACTTGAAAGTTATAATGATTGTCTCCATCAATTAGTTGTATGATTGCTTTTACATTCTACTTAATTAAATGTCATGATAATTTTTTTTCATAACATTTTAAGATTTACAATGAAGAATTAGAACATCAGGAGTGTTTTAATAGCTTCAATGATTGGGCTATACCTATCGAACTTATAAAACGCAATAAAAAAGACAAGAAATATTTTGTATCTGGAGTTCTTAAGACTTCGCTAAAAATTTCAAGATGTGATGGAAGAAATTATTTTAAATCTGAAAGGCATTTACAAAAATCAAAACTGCTTCAAGTGGATCAAAATTTTCCTGTTGAGCTTCCAATTAGAATTCATGTTTACGTAATTCAAGGTATCAACATTCGGTCCCATGATACCAATAGCTATTCGGATTGCTATTTAAAAGTACAATTTGGAGATCAAGTCATATCAGATCGTTCAAGCTACGTACCAAATGAATTCAGTCCAATCTTTGGAAAGTGCTTTCAAATATCAGGCGTGGTTCCAAGAGAAACCATGCTCTATATTTCTGTTTTTGATCGTGATACACTATCACCAAATGATTTTATAGGTCTCACTTCGATTGATATTGAAGATCGTTTACGATCTAAGCATTGTGCTAATTGTGGTTTACCAAAAGAATTTAATACCAAAGGTTATAATGCTTGGCGTAATACATTTTTACCATCAAAGTTATTAGAAAAATTGTGTAATAATTTGAAGCTTATGGCACCACAATACTACACAGACCATATCCATTTAGCCGGCATCAATTTTAAAGATTCAAGCAAAGTTTCTGATGATGGAAACAAAAGAGAACGATTAGCACTTTCCGTACTTAATAGATTTCATGAAATACCTGGCATTGGTTTCAAACTTGTTCCAGAACATGTTGAAACAAGATCATTGTATCGAGAAGATCAAAAAGGAATTGAACAAGGAAAACTCATGATGTGGGCAGAAGTATTCAACTTAAATGAAAAAAATATAACACAGCCAGTAGATATAACTCCTATTCCCCCTCATGCTTATGAACTTCGTGTCATTGTCTGGGGGGCCAAAAATATCATCCTTCAAGAGAGAAACCTTTTCCGAACTCGTATGAGCGATATTTACATTAAGGCGTAAATTCATTCTTAACATTTTTTATCTCATAATGACGAAAGATTTTTTCAGATGGTTAGACGACATTAAAAAAACTCAATACACCGATATTCATTACCGTTCTATTAACGGTGAAGCATTGTTCAATTGGCGCATGATTTTCCGTTTCAAGTATTCAATAGGTGAAGATATGGTAAAACAGAACTGAATCTTAAGAGAAACAGAAATATGTATTTTAATTTGGAAACTTAAATATTTAAGATGATAATCTCAAAGAAGAAAAATCTTTTTGAAAGTGTTCCGATGATGCAGAAAATGCCTGCGGTGCTTAACTTACAACTTTGGGACAATGATACATTTACACACGATGATTTTCTTGGAAGTCTCAGCATAAATTTGTCACACTTTTCAAACCGTTTTGATTCTCAGGAAAAATGTAATATTATGAAATCGAATTCAGTTCATGAAAATTTATTTGCTATGAAAAACAGTATAAGAGGTTGGTTTCCAATTCGTGGAAGAAGTAACATTGGTTCTAATAAGCAAACGGTCAGTTACGTACCTACATATTTAACAATACCAGTGATTAACTTGATTTTAAAAATATTGAAGGGTGCACTCGAACTTGAATTGGAAGTACTCTCAGAAAACAATGCTAACAAGAAACCTGCAGGACTTGGCCGAGAAGGACCTCAAATGTTACCAATGCCAAAGTATATTATCATATTTTATGTTTAACTGAACCATTTTTAATGAGTAAAAATTTATTTAGCCGCCCTGAAACATCATTCAATTGGATGTCAAATCCTATTCAATCTTTCAATTATACGATATACCAGCCACTTAGAAAATTGGCAATCTTTCTTTTGATTGCTTTATTGATTATTGTAGCGTTTCCTTGGGTTTTGAAAGTATCAACATTTGGTTTTTCGAAGATTTATTTAGAAAAAAAAGTACCAAATTGAGCCCTCACAGTTATTATAATTATCTTTGCAATTCTTTCTATTTCTAAAAAAATCATTTCTGTTCATGAATTTTTCCTGCAGCATTAAGAATAGAGATAATTACTGTTTTTAAATCAGATGCAAAGCCTGAAGATTTTTTCTCCTCAATTACGAAATATTCGTTGGATTTTTGAAACAATTCCTTTATGTCTGCGAGAGTCTACAATGATGGATTAAATAAAAACATCAGATACTTGTGAATATATTTAAAAAATGCATTTACTAACTTCATTAAATTGCCTCGCACTCTCCGCAAAATTCTCATTGATCTCTAGAGATGGTTCAAGATTCTCATTGATTTTAAAACACTTAGTAGTACTGATTAATTCCTTTGAAATGCTTTGAAGATAAGTCACCAATTGTGCAAGAGCATTCTTTTCTCTTTCATCATTTTTTCCAATTTTTCTGAATTCGGAAAGTGTTCTTGGACTATAATCAATCATATTCAGCATTTCATAAATGTTGTCAGAAATTTTCAGACTCTCATCATTCTCCTTATTAATACAGAAGTCATGCGGATTTCTAACGATATCTCTGTTTAAAAACCTTGAATCAGCATAATTCTGTGTGATCAGCTTCGAGTTTTCTTCTCTGCTATCTTTTATTGATTCAATTAATTGAAAAAGATTTGAAATCTGATTTAAATCATAGAATTCAGCATTAGAAACGGAGGTAAATATTCCTTCGAAATTTAGTGAATTTGTCTTTATAATTTTTTCATGAAATTGAGGCACATTACATTTTTCGTTACACTTTTCCATTAAATCGTTAATATTTGTTCCATTGTTTTTAATTTTTTCCGCAATTTGATCATACAGATCAGTTTTCGTTTCTAAAGATAATGACATCGCAACAAAGCTTGAGTTGAAATGTATATTTTTGTTAACTATAGGTAAACTGTAGGTACCTGATTACAGATAGAAGCAACTTTATTCAAAACTTGTTGGAAATTGGTCGTTAACAGTTGATAAATAAGAAAACCGTACAATTGTTTCCTCGAATTATTGTTAAGAATGTTGAGAATATTTTGTGTCCGAATGTCTAGATTTAGTTCAATAAGTTCAATAAGTGGTTCAATAAGCCATAACTTATCAAAAAAGGAAAATAATAAAATTCTCACATTAAGATCAACTAAATTTAAAAACAAACCTTATCCTATCTCATAAGAGTAAGTTAAAATTTATTCACCGAAACTTCAATATTGAATTTAATGGTTTTAATTAAAATCTGCCGCCGTATCCAGTTTAGAACAACGTGTCAATTTATTTTAATAGTTTAAATTACTAGAAGATTGATATTATCTATAGAAATATTAAAACATATGTGTAGACAGTAATACTGTCGTGAGGGATATATTTTTATAAGTGAGATTATATCAATAATTTTTCGAAATTTCATAGTTTTATGAATTTTTACTATAAACATTAAAAGTTTGCTACATTTTTTTTTCATGAGATTTTATAAAACTTTTAATTTTAGATTTTTAACCTTAGAAATGGTTATCACTTGTCGTTTTTATAAGCAGAAATACCCAGAGGTAAACAATATACATATGTTTATGACTTTAAAAAATTAACAATAATCTTTAATAGATTGAAGATGTGGTGATGGTTAATGTTCGCTCAATCGCTGAAATGGGTGCTTATGTTCATTTACTTGAATATAACAATATTGAAGGAATGATTCTTCTTTCTGAGTTGTCTCGACGTCGTATTCGCTCCATAAACAAGCTCATTCGTGTTGGGAAAACTGAACCGGTTGTTGTTATAAGAGTTGACAAGGACAAGGGTTATATTGATCTTTCCAAACGTCGAGTATCACCGGAGGATGTCGAAAAATGTACCGAAAGATTCAGCAAAGCAAAGGCTGTAAGCTCTATTTTGCGTCACGTAGCAGAACTTCTGAAATATGATACAGATGAGCAGTTGGAGGAGTTATACCAGAAAACCGCCTGGTATTTTGAAGAAAAACATAAGAACAAAACAGCGTCGTACGACATTTTTAAGCAAGCCGTTTTAGAACCAACTCTATTGGATGAATGCAATTTAGATGATAACACAAAGCATGTGTTGTTGACTAATATAAAACGTAAATTAACATCACAAGCAATGAAAATTCGCGCTGATATTGAATGTGCTTGTTATGGATATGAAGGAATTGATGCTGTAAAACAAGCTCTTCTAGCTGGCTTAGAGACATCTACTGAAGAAATACCAATTAAAATTAATTTAATTGCTCCTCCTTTGTACGGTAATCACAGAATTAATTTCTTTTTAATGCATAAATTTAACTTTTTTTTCTTGAATCATTTTCAGTTATCACTACTTCAACTCCAGAGAAAGCAGATGGACTTAAAGCTTTGGAAAATGCAATCGAAAAAATTGAATACACTATTAAAAAGCTTGATGGACATTTTGCGATTCAAATGGCGGTAAATTTTACAAAATTTTAAAGTGTTTTAAATTCGTGTTATTTATTAATTGTCTATTCTAGCCTAAAGTTGTAACTGCTATTGATGAAGCTGATCTTGCTCGTAGAATGGAGCGTGCAGAAATAGAGAATGCTGAAGTATCTGGGGATGATGAGTCTGATGATAATGAAGAAGGAATGAAATTCGAAGGTGAAGGACAGAACAACTCAAAAGACAAAGACTCTCGAAGTGAGTCAGATAACGAATCAACTACGCATTAACTGACAAATATACCATTCACAAATGGTGAAAATTCAAGGATTCATGTTTAACAAGTTTAATCACTTAAATTTTGAGATGCGGTCCAGATATATCTCATTCAATGTTCATCAATACTTTGTAATTAATTGGAATAAAAATAAATCAATAAAATCTAATGATGAATAATTTGTATTATGTTTAATTGAGTGTACATGTACATTTAAAAGTAATAAGTAAGTGACAAGTGTACGCATCAGTGACGACGAAATTGCTTTTTGAATTTGTCAAAATGATAGTCATCTGTAGCCTTCTTCATAATCTTTGACTTTTGAGAAGAATCTCCATTTTCATGATGTTTCTTTTGTGGATGATCGGTTTGTTCTAATTTAACTGAATAGTGGAAAAAAAGAAGTAGAATTAAAAGAGAAATAAATAAATGAAAAGTCACTTACATCGATTATGTTGAACGAAATTTACAGCATAATTCTTAGGTACAAATTGAGATGGCAAATCTTTCAAATTTCTCCTTTGATCTGATATTAGCTTTTGTTTTTCCTCTTCTGTGGCTTCGATATTTTTTATCTTAGTTTCAATTCCAAGATCCACTTCAGGTATTCCATTAAGCATTTGATTTGACAGCATCTCTTCAGATTTTTTTGTGGAACATTCTCTTAAGTGTGCTGGAAGAGCCAAGAGAGCAGCTTCTTCAGGTGTCAGGTATTTACTTATCGTCTCGCCGTCTTTATCAATTGTAATCCCATTTCGTTTTTTCATTTGCTCATCTATGTATTTCATCATTTCTTCATCTGTGTCGCCTATATTGGTTTCTGCCGAAAATTGTGTGCCAATGCCAGTATCATAAGCATCGTCATAATTAGTTTTAATTTTTCCTGCTTTGAGAGCTTGCATATTGACCATTCCTCCTATTTGAATATTAAACGGATCTTTGACCGAGACTTCTTCTTCGAGTGATATTTTTTTTCCAAGTGCCAAAGTCACACTAAAAGCAAGAAAATTGTCTATCGAATTATTACCATTAAAACATTAAAATGTGTGTAATAATTTCTGCTCAATCACAAAAATTAAGGATTCAAGTATACATACAGTTAAACTTCGATAAGCTGCTACTTCGATAATCAGATATCCTTGATAAGCAGATATTTTTTGGCACACACTCGAATTTGTTCGAAGTATTGCCCCGATTAACAGATATCCTCGATTAACTGATGCCCCGATAAACGGTGACGAAATTTGTATGAAAAACTGACCTCGATAAGCTGGTAAACGAAAAAATTTAAAATCCGGGGTCTTCATTTACTCAATTCGAATGGCGCGAATTTTTATAATATTATTAATTCATCCTTTAACTAGCATTATAGTATAATAAACTATAATAGATAAGTTAAAATAATATTAAAATGATATAGTATTGGGGATTGTCCGGTTTAAAATTATATTTTTATGTTTCTCCAACACCCTCGAATCCTTGATAATCAGATATCCTCGATAAACAGATATTTTTTTGTGTCCCTTGAAATATCTGTTTATCGAAGTTTCTCTGTACCTATTACCTCAGGTGTTCTCCGAAAGACATCCACGATATCAACAATGAAGAAATCTGTAAGTGAATCAGTGTAATCAAGTGGGTGGTTTCATCTTCAATGAAGATAAATTTCAAGAAAAGGATATTTTCTTATGAAAACAAACAAAAGTAAACCTTTCTATATCCTCTCTTGAATCCATTGTTAATTGAAAGTAAAAACACTTGTGGTATAATTTTCTATTCTTTGAGTTTTTGGTAAATTAATTTTTTGGTTTTCGCATCAATAAGTAACAAATTGAATGAGATATTTGTTTGTGACCTATGTTTGTTTCACTGTTTGTCTGATTGAAATGTATCGATTTCAAGGATTTAAAAAGAAGAAAAATATTTGTTTGAGATGAATGTGGGAAATTGTTACGAATCTTCGAAATGAGTTTGGTTTCATAGATTAGTAAAATATTTGCTGAAACATATCCTTATTTGTATGTTTCAATATTCATAGAATAAGACTTATTCACGTTTACTTTGTTTTTACTTCAAACAATAAAATCTTTAACATTTGTCTACAATTTCTGTTCATTTGCAAATATTAATATGTGTTCAAAGAATGAGTAACTTTTCAAAAATCATTNGAATAAAAATAAATCAATAAAATCTAATGATGAATAATTTGTATTATGTTTAATTGAGTGTACATGTACATTTAAAAGTAATAAGTAAGTGACAAGTGTACGCATCAGTGACGACGAAATTGCTTTTTGAATTTGTCAAAATGATAGTCATCTGTAGCCTTCTTCATAATCTTTGACTTTTGAGAAGAATCTCCATTTTCATGATGTTTCTTTTGTGGATGATCGGTTTGTTCTAATTTAACTGAATAGTGGAAAAAAAGAAGTAGAATTAAAAGAGAAATAAATAAATGAAAAGTCACTTACATCGATTATGTTGAACGAAATTTACAGCATAATTCTTAGGTACAAATTGAGATGGCAAATCTTTCAAATTTCTCCTTTGATCTGATATTAGCTTTTGTTTTTCCTCTTCTGTGGCTTCGATATTTTTTATCTTAGTTTCAATTCCAAGATCCACTTCAGGTATTCCATTAAGCATTTGATTTGACAGCATCTCTTCAGATTTTTTTGTGGAACATTCTCTTAAGTGTGCTGGAAGAGCCAAGAGAGCAGCTTCTTCAGGTGTCAGGTATTTACTTATCGTCTCGCCGTCTTTATCAATTGTAATCCCATTTCGTTTTTTCATTTGCTCATCTATGTATTTCATCATTTCTTCATCTGTGTCGCCTATATTGGTTTCTGCCGAAAATTGTGTGCCAATGCCAGTATCATAAGCATCGTCATAATTAGTTTTAATTTTTCCTGCTTTGAGAGCTTGCATATTGACCATTCCTCCTATTTGAATATTAAACGGATCTTTGACCGAGACTTCTTCTTCGAGTGATATTTTTTTTCCAAGTGCCAAAGTCACACTAAAAGCAAGAAAATTGTCTATCGAATTATTACCATTAAAACATTAAAATGTGTGTAATAATTTCTGCTCAATCACAAAAATTAAGGATTCAAGTATACATATTTAGATAATTCATTTTCAGAATTTTACTTACAAATTCACGCCATTTTGACGTGTTCGAAGTTTTTGTTTTGCTTTGGTTTCATTGATCAAATCGTGATTAATGCTATCTCCTTCAACAATTTCATTGTCCTGTTCAACTTCACTTATAGATTTCCGTCTTTTCCTTAAGTTTTGTTGTTTAATTGAACGAAATGTTATCTTTTCAGTGTCCGTATTCATGTTTAGTAACTTTAGTAACTTTTATAAATAGCTCAATTCTGTACATAAACATAAAACTTTCTTACCCCTGTTTCGAATTTCGAAATTCGAATGTCCAACACAGGGACATAATCAGTAAAACACAAAACACACACATTGATGTCACACGTGAAGTCTCTGCTCAATGTTTACAAAATCTTTACTAAAAATTTATGGAATACCTAAATAAAAACAAAGTTGAAAATAGTGGATATTTGTTTAAGATTACTTAATTGTTACTTTTGGGCTTGGACATCTTTTAAACAAAGTACATTCATACAAAATCACTACACAATTATTTTTATATAATGCTTCATTCTTTTTTTTATTCATGTTTATTGGGATTTTTTTAAAATAAAGTAAAAGACAGAAAATGTTATATCGAGCTAAATGCTTTCGTGGAGGTTATCAAATTTTTTTACGACGTTATTCTAAAGATGTAAAATCAGAAAAGCTGCTGAACCGTAAGAATCTAAAATTTATTTTACTTTTAGTAACATAACGAAAAATATTCATTCATTCATGTTTTATTTTAGCTCAGATTTCATTTTCCGGCTATCACCCGAAAAACTTTGAACTCAAAGATGTTTCTTCAAAAACCGGACAACCTGGCAAGGAACATAAATTTTCAATGTTGTTTCCTCCTCCAAATATTACTGGAGACATACATTTAGGCCATGCTCTGACGGCAACAATTCAAGACGCTATTATTAGATGGAAACATAAACAAAATATTGAGACAATTTGGATACCTGGCACAGATCATGCAGGAATTGCTACGCAAGTTATTGTTGACAAAATGCTTTTTCATCAAGAGAATAAGAAGCGTTTAGATCTAGGAAAAAAGGCGTTCTTAGAAGTAGTCAAACAATGGCAAAATGAAAAGCAATCATCTATTAAGAAAGATTTAAAAATGTTGGGAACTTCCTTTGATTGGGAATATGAATATTTCACCATGGATTCAAATTTATCTGATTCTGTAAACGAAGCGTTCATCAGACTTTTTGAGAGAGATTTGATTTTTCGAGATGCGACGATAATCAATTGGAGTTGTGCTTTAGAATCTGCAATCTCTGATATCGAAGTTGAAAATATTGAATTATGTGGAAAAACTGAAATTGAATTACCGAACTATAGTCAGAAGATATCATTTGGTGAAATTACTGATATAGCATATAAAATTGTTGATTCTGATGACGAAATTATTGTTTCCACTACGAGACCAGAAACAATGCTCGGCGATGTTGCCGTAGCTGTTAATCCCAATGATCAAAGGTATAATCATCATTTACCAAGAAAAACTCAATTATGGCATCCATTTCGAAATGAATCAATCCCTTTAATTTTTGATGACTCTGTTGACCCATCATTTGGGACAGGTGCATTAAAAATCACTCCAGCACATGATAAAGAAGATTATAAAATTGCAAAAACACATAATTTAAATATCATTCAAGTAATAAACGAAAAAGGATTAATTATGGAAAATTTTGAACATTTTGGAAGTCTGAAACGTTTCACAGCACGAGATAAAATTATTTCTTATTTGAACGATATTCAACTTTACAGAGGAAAAAAATCACATAAAATGTCGCTTCCAATTTGCTCGCGATCTAAAGATATCATTGAATTCTTATTGAAACCACAATGGTTCTTAAACTGCTCAAAATTATCACAAAGAGTATGTGAAGTAGTTAAAACCAAAGAATTGAAGATTCATCCAAACACGTTTGAAACTGAATGGTTTCGGTGGATGGAAAATTGTCACGATTGGTGCATTTCTCGACAGCTATGGTGGGGACATCAAATACCTGCTTATAAAATGATAACTCCTGAGAATAAAACTTCAGATATTTGGGTCGCAGCTAAATCCTCAGAGGAAGCAAAAGAAAAGTTTCGAAAAATGAATGCTGAATTTATTGAATTCGATGTAAAAAGAGATTCAGATGTTCTCGATACATGGTTTTCATCTTGCATCCTTCCATTGTCTGTTTTCAATTGGCCAAATCAAAGTAAAGATTTCGAGAAATTCTTTCCATTGAGCCTCATGGAGACTGGGCATGACATTCTTTTCTTTTGGGTCGCTCGTATGGTGATGCTGTCGCTTGAGTTAACTGATCGAATTCCTTTCAAAGAAGTTTTGTTGCATGGAGTAATTCGTGATTTCTATGGTAGAAAAATGTCAAAAAGTTTGGGAAATGTTATTTTTCCTCGACAAATTATTCATGGAGCTACACTAGAACAACTTGAAGAAGAAACAAAATCTTTAGCTTCGATGGGTGTATTGACAGAAACTGAACTTCATAAATCTCTTGCAGGACAGAAGATTATGTATCCGAAGGGAATTGAAGAATGTGGAATCGATGCCTTGCGCCTCACTTTATGCTCTTACAACATCAAACAACATTATATAAGTTTTAATGTTTCAGATTGTTCGAAAAACAAACGATTTTTAAATAAGATTTTCAATGCTATAAAATTTGCCATGGATTCATCAGAAAATGCTAAAGTAATAGTCAGAGACATTGAATATCTTAACAACACAGAACTCTCAGACATGGATTTGTGGCTTTTGAGTCGCTTAGGAAATACAACAAGAACAGTTAAAAATGCTTTTGAAAATTATAATTTTCATATTGCTGTGTCAGCATTAAAACAGTTTTTCTACAAAGACATATGTGACGTCTACATCGAAGCAGTTAAAGTTAAAAGGAATAATATCGAAAAGAGCGCTGTAATAAACGCTCAAGTTTTGAGTACATGCCTAGCTGTAGGCTTGGATCTCATGGAACCTTTTACGCCTTATTTTTCAAGAGAAATGAGAGAATTTACAGCAAAGAATTGTGATATAAATCCCGAACTTTACATAAATGAAATGCATGAAGATAAAATTGGTAAAATTCTTGAGATATGCAAGCACATTAGAGAATTCAAAGCTCATTATAGTATGACAAAAAATACATCCATAATAATTCTTATTAAATCATTGGAATTTGAAGAATGCATCAAAAATAATGTTAATCATATTAAAATGTTGACTTCTTGCGATGCTATTGGAATGACAAATGATTCCCAGTATTTTGAAAAAGAACCTTTTTTTGCTTCATCAACTGCTGGTCCTCTATGTTCCTTTGGATTGAAGACATCGACTCCGAATCTACATGAAGATCCTTCTTCTTTGAATAAGAAAAAAATTCAAAAGCTTACCATTCAGCGAGACAATTTACTGAAAATCATAAATACTGAAGGATATCAGAAAAGTGCCAGTGAAAAGAAACAAAAAATTCTTAAAGAAAAATTAGAAAAAATGAATTCGGAATTGTTGAGCTTAAAAGTAATCTTTAAAAATTAATTCTTAATAAATTATACTTTAAAAAAGTAATATGATTATAATTACTAAACTGTTTCTTAATTCCCTTTGAATATGCGCTGATAACTTTCATCAACGACATTGGCGAGATTTTTAATGATGTGGAGTTCTGCCTCTATGCTGATGATCTCAAAATCTTTAAGGAGATTAATGAGCCACTTGACACACAAATTCTACAATCAAACATCGACAAGCTTATAACTTACGCACAGACGAACAATCTGACACTCAACGCAAAAAAATGCATCGTAACGAGCTTCTCGAGGAAACAATCAAGCTTAATTTGCGCTCAGTATCATATTGAAGGTGAAGAACTGGAAAGAAAAATTTCAACTCGCGACTTAGGAGTCATTTATGATCACAAGTTAAATTTTAATGATCACATTAGCTACATCTCTGGAAAGGCAAGGAAAATGTTAGGGTTTATTATAAGAAATGGAAAATACTTCAAAGATGCAAATACTTTTATCACTCTTTATAATAGCCTTGTAAGAAGCAACATAGAATATGCATCGGTAATATGGAATCCTCATACACAACTTCAAACAAACAAACTAGAAAGTATCCAACATAAATTCCTACGTTTTCTTGCTTTTAAATGTCTTAACAAGAAAGATGATTCACTTAATTATAGTGAAATTGAGAAACGGTTCAAGATGGACAATCTGGAGTTAAGAAGAAAAATTGCTGATGTGAAGTTCACAAAAAAATAACATTATGGACTCACAATCATATCTACATCACTTTAAATTCTCACCACTCAACTCAATAACAAGAAATAATGACGTTTTTAAAACGACAGGAAGTAAAACGGATGTCGGGAAATTCTCTCTTTTCAACAGACTGATGAACACATTCAACAAATTACAAAACAACGACAATTGGCTAAGAAATCAACCAAATGATAATTCAATCAAATACGTCAGTCGATTATCAACCCAAGAATCATCACAAGCCAATAATTTTGCATAGATTGAGTTTTTTTCTACGTTGCTGGAATGTATGTTGGATGAGGGAGTAACATGGAGCTTGCTTCCAATGTGCATTAACCAGCAGCATTTTTCTCAATCAAACATCTCAACATTTATAAAAAATCTTTAAATATAATGACAAACTAAATTTGATAAAATTTTGTGAAAACAAATTGACAAATGATTACAAATATTGTTAAACATTAATCTTTATCATGCAAACAAGTACAAAATCATATATAAAAGCTTTATGTAATCATATAAAAAATTGTTAATGACAATTATTTGCTGCAGCTTAAGGGTTATGCCCGTTAATGCAGCTCAAATGCAATAAATGTTTATTTGCACAAATTTATTTCGTTGAAGAATTATTGGAAGAACAAAATTTTTGAAGGTTCGTTAAATGTCAAATTTCGTTCTTTATTACAAATATTCGCTATTTCCTGAACTTTTGTTTATTTATTCAGATGATTTAATTTATTCAGATGAAAGATTGTTACACAGGGCACATGTTTTGAGTGTATGTCAAATACCATCCTCTGTTACCGATATCTGTCATTTCGTTCGCGTTTGTCTTTGTGTAAATGACATAAGGACGAGATATACTCGTCGTATCATCTATTCCTAAGCCACAAAATCTATCACCTCCTAAGGCATCAACCCCATTTTGTTGAGCAGATGGAATTGTAACATAATCAGTTGTACACATTTGTTCTTGAACAGCCGCAGTCCCTAATATTGCTGGGTCGATCGCACCAACATCTCCTGTCACAGTGAAGGCGAACGCATCTCCTGTTGGCTGGATAATTTGATATGCATCAATATTTATTATTAATTAGAGTTTTTTTTCACTCAAATAAACTCACTCTTGACCAAGTTATGGAACATGTTCCGGGAGCTGCTTTCACACATGCTCCATATGATAAGCTTGCAATTTGTCTTGAACCTTGTACTCCTATTGAGTTAGTAGATCCACTTGCTGCAGATGCATAATTGAAGCTACTTACGTACCCACTTTTATCCATCCAATATTGAAGACATCCAGAAGGTGCTTTAACGAATAAAAGTTAAAGTTTTTTTGCTACAATCAAAAATAAATAACAAACCTTTCGAAGGAGAATCACATCCAATTTGTTGTAAGTGAAAATGCCACCTTCGGTTAAATGAGACAGAGCTTGAAGTTGCGACTGTTATTGTAATTGGATGATCACCACTGAAATCTACATAAACATGTTGACCAGAATTTTCTCCACAAATTCTAGGGACTGGTGATGAACCCCCAGAAACTCCAAAATAATCAGAGGAACATAATCCATCTCCAGTTGGTTGTGCTAATGTAAATTCTAAAAAATCTATTCTCAATTGGCAAACATCACTTCCTAATCTTGTGACTCGTATATCGCATCGTGAACCTCCAGGAAATGTTTGTGGATAGCCTGAGTTGACGAAATATGTATTGTTGTAGTCTGCACTGGATCCACATGTTTTTGTAACTATTTAATTAAAAAGAAAGCTTAGCACATCTGTCATTAAAGAGATTTAAAGGAAATTACCAATGCAACAAGAAGCTTGTCTGGTATTTGCTTGACTACAAGCGGTTGCACCTGTTGTTGTCCCTCCTATATCACTGCATTGTAAAGCAAGTGTACATGTTCCAATTAGTTTATTTGTCCCAACACAGGTGTCTTGGGCAAACCTTCCTATGCTATAAAAAGGAAACCCTTAATTGCAAAAAAGAAAAAATTGCATTAAAATTAAAATTTTTGTTTCGTTTAACAGGAGCTTACATTTTGGATTGCGACCGCCAATGACTTCACTCGATGCAGATCCAATTATATGGGTATGAACAACCAATATGCACTTCAAAATGAGAAGAATTTTACAAACAATTTTCATTTTTATATGAGAAAAAGATTTTTAAAAGTCAACTAGCTGGTTAAATAAAATTTTGAATTGTTATATTCTCTCAAAATCTTCTTTCTTTTTAATTTACCGTTTTGTCAATACCTAATACTCATACCTTTTAACGGAAGGTGCACATATCTAAGCATATATTATTTGTATATAACTTAATCATGCTAATTTGTTCAATATCTTCATATCTATAGGATGCACTTTCGTGCAGAATTTTAGAAGTTACGTGGGACATCTCTAAACTGTTGATATCCTCTTATCCATTGAAAGTTTTACTATTTTTTGGCTCTTATGTCTTTTTAATTTTATGTTTAACTTTGTTCTGAAACTTATTCTCAATGGACAGATTGTTGCCTACGCAAATGTTGCTTTTATTCTCATGGAGCAGTTTAAAAAATCGAAAGTCGTTAAATTTTATTACGAACTCTAATGATTTTCTTTAAGTTCTCTTTCTTGATCGTCATATCTTTGAAGCTTGAATATTATTCATATTTATGACAAAAGAAAAATGGAATTCAACAAAAGAATTTCCTTTTACACGAATTTTTATCTTTTACTCTTTAAAATTTTTTACCGTCTTTGTGAAACCCTGCATTTAAATTCGTTTAACATTTGTTTAATCATTCTTTAAAGAATTTCTATTTAAATAAAAAGAATTTGATAAACATTCAATAATCAAAAACAAGTTTGGCATTGATAATTTCGAAAATGAGTGTAAATACAGCTCACGCTAATGGTGGTGTTCTGATTCATGCAGGAGAAACGTAAATATAGTTTTTTTTTACATTTTTGGAAAAATTGATATGGTGACCTTGATAAATGTTGAATCATATTTATTATATAAGTGATATATAAAATAGGACATAAATCTAATTTGTGTTTTTTCAATAAATTTCAGAATTCTTTTATTCAGTGACAATACGACAATAGAATTTTCGGGTCAAGATGGACCAATGTTTAAAGGAACGAAACATGGAAGAATTTATTTGACAACTCATCGCATAATTTTTAATAGTAAAAATGCTAAAGATTCCATGCAATCTTTTAGTTCACCTTTCATATCGATGAGTGACGTGGAACTTGAACAACCAATTTTTGGAGCTAATTATATCAAGGGTAAAATTCGTGCTCAACCGAATGGCAACTGGTCAGGGGAAGTTAAATTCAAGTTATCATTCCAATCTGGTGGTTGCATCGATTTTGGGCAAGCATTGCTGAGAGCTGCATCTATGGCACAGAGAAATGGAGGAGGAATGGTAATATTGCAATAATTCTTTATTATATCAACCATTCAAATTCTCGTTTTAGTCTCCACCGCCTTATACTCCACCGACAAGTGGATGGTATGCTGCACCTCCTCCCTCGTACACTCCTTCAGCAGGAAGCTATGGATGGTTACCCCAAAATTCAGGTTTTGGTTCAGCGCCAGCAAATGGAGTATTCGTAAGATATTTAAAAGTTTCAATTTTTTGATTCATTTAAATTTTGTTTTACATTCAGATGCACGATAATCCTCCACCGTATCCAGGAATAAATTCGAATTATAATGTAACACCAGGACCGTCATATCCAACGCTGCCTCCTGCATCTTCTGCATTCCAAAATACTCCTTCTGCACCAAGTAAGTATCTACTAAAGTTTGATTCCCTGAATAATAATAGTAAAATCTTATTGTAGTGACGAAGGATCAAGAAGCTGCTGCGTCAGCTTATTTCGACCCTCGCGCACCCAACTCTGCTTTTGTACAACAACCACAATTTTATGAAAATCCTCCAGCTTATTCTGAACTTGATCAAATGAAGAAAAAAGATTAAATATTTTATAGTCGATCGTTAAATATGGATTGACAATGAAAATTACACATAAATGGTTAAATTTTGTATGAAAATTGTGCATATTTATTCACTTATATCTATATTATTTTGCAAAATAAACTTATTCTATTATAAATATTTTTTTTCTTTTGTCATATTAAATTGTTTGTCGAGACAAGTGCTTTGAATAATATAATAAATATTAACTTGTATAAGCTTGTCGTAATCTTGGGTTATCCCACGTAATTGTTTGATATCCAACTTTTTTATCATTGTAGCAATATGCCAGAACACACTTTTTGTTGACAGATACTGATAACCGCGCAAAGCTTATAAAGGAATCTGTATTACGTTCTTCAGAATAATCTACACATTTAACAAGATGAGAAGCATGAAAAATCTTAGGATCGCCTGGATATGCTAAGAAATCGGCTCCAAAGGAGTCTCCGTCACTGACATATAATCCTCTTCTATTTAGATCGTTAAAAGTACAATTTGTTTTAGAATTTTCTGTTTTTATTATGGCTATTTGTGTTAAACATTCTTCGAAAGGATGCTTAGTTGGAACATGATCGTAAATATTTTTTATATTTATGGACTGCGAAATTTTCACAGTTTGTTCTAATAGGATTTGTTCCAAAGAAATGTTCACACCTGAAAATAGTTGGAGGATTATTTAGATTAGAAAAATATGAAAATAAGAAACTGCAGAACATTTGCTTACCTAATTCTGTAACTCCAGAAATATTAAACTTCTTCACTTTTCCTTTGACAATACTATTGATGTTATTTTTAGTTTGAGACAATCGTTTTTTTATGTATGGCCTTTTAAACTGCTCTAAAAGTTTTCCACAATAAACACTGAAATCGCGTTTAATATTTTCATTTGGTTGTAATTTCAAGCTGCTTGCGTCTGCAACAATGACATTATTTTCCCTTAAAAGCACATTTAACTCGTAATTATTAAAACACGCTGGTAGAGCATTCAATGAAGAATGTCTGGTTTGACATATTGGAATGCCGATTAATTTTCCTAATAGGTGATGTTGTGATCTTATTTTAAAATATTCATCTTTGTCAAAGATTAATATTTTTCCATTCATGAAAACCATTTTTATCATAGCCATGTTTAATCTGATATTTATAAAATTTAATAGAAATTTACTATAAGATTTGGTGAAGCAATTTTATAATTTGCATTTATTTAATATTTTTAGATTTTGTTTATTATTACAAACGAGGGTGAAACGGTCGGACTAGTACTACCGTTATTTATTATCCGAAAAGGGTATTCGTCAAAAAGGGTCAAAGATTGTTGACATAAAATATAATCCGGCATATTTTCTTTTCATTGCGTTTAATAAGTAGGTACGGTACAAATATTAACATAATGATTGAATTTTTAACATTACCTACCGGCATTGTCCATGAAGAAAGATCATACAAATTCTTCGATTAAAAATTCGAGAATTCGTGAGGAGATTACAATCTTAGTGAAGACGCGATTAAAAGGAAAATTGCTTAAAGTTAAAGTTATCTTTTTCATAAATATACAGAATTCTCGGATAAAATGTACTTAAATACCTAAAATTAAAAATTTCTTATGGATACGAAAACGTCCACAGAATGTTGTGACAAACAGCGCTAAAAATTTTTTTGATGATAAACTTTTATCAACATAGATAGTATTTATGATATAG